ATATTTTGGTGTGGATCGGGATCAGTGGGCACATCCAGGAATTGTTTCACTTTCTTTAACATTGCCACATATTTACATTTTCACCATTTACCCAGAGGATAATTCACTGATGTTAAAAAAATCAGGCACATTTAGGGTTTGATTAGCGGAGGTGTATGTGCTCCACTGTTTTGAGCTGCATTTTTTTGCCCTGATCATTTTTGTCAATCTCACTTTCTGCTTTTTCACAAGTTTGTGTCTTGTGTCTAAAAATAAAGGCTGCACCCGATGGACTTTAGTCTTTATGGGCTGAAGATCATCATAACTCCAGCTTCAGTTGTTGAGGACTTTCACTTTTAAGACGTCCTCTGACTTTGGATATCGAGGCTCAAGGCAGTAACTTGATTCCCTCAGTGTACTTTGTTGTGCCAACGCTCTTCAGTGAAGTGCCTCGCTCTCTCGGGCGCACAGCGCATGTGCCGATCTATCATATGAATTAGAGGGTTTGATTTGATGTGGGTTGTAACATGTCGTCGTGGTTGTGTTGGGAGTTGTGCGTCTTTTGGGCTTTTTTCAGACTTGAACTTCTGAAAACGTCAGGACAATTGGCTCTGGACATTTTCGGGAAGGCAGAACGCAGCAGGAGATTGTCTGGGTCAGACATGTTCACTAACACAGATAAATATCTGGAGCGTTCAGGTGTGGGGTGGCGTCTGGGTAGAGCAGCAGGAGGCAGGACATGGCTTTTAAATTCCACTGCAGAAATCCCATGTTTTTGTTTACAGCGCATCGGCCTTTATCACCAAAGGCTCCTGAATCTCATCATCTTTCCAAGCTGACATTTTCCTCGATGCTGCCACGTGTACGGCTCCTCTGTTTCATCCTGAGATACTTGTTTTCTTTCTGCACCATGATTTCATATGTAATTGTGAGGTTCATGAGCAATAATGTAGACTCTGATAAATTCACTTGTGTCTTTTTGTCAGTATACTTTTCAAGACGTATTATCCAGGTCATTTATACAAGAGCTGGCTTTTGCAGGTATAAACTAGTGTAAAGGCATTTCACACTTGCACAGTTCAATAAAGATCCAATAAAAACCCTGTAGACTTTGTGGGATCTAGATGTAGATACTTTTCACCGTAGGAAAGCATAAAAATGGTTAATTTAACGTGGTTGCAGCACTGAGGGATATTACCTCTTTATTGTATTTCCTTTGTATTTAACCTCAAACCCGAGAGGAAGACGGAGAGGAATTGGAGATCTCCAGGGGGATTCAATTATATTTTCTCCCGTGTTCACTGCGATATAATGACTTTGCAACAAGACCTCTTTCTGCTCTCAGAGCTTCTTTTTTCCTACAGATTTCATCTCAATAGACTTAGTAAGAGAAGGTATTTATCTTAAGGAGCCTTTACCTGACCTCGATATTTCTTATCCTGTGACCATCTCACATTTTCAGCCTAATGAACAATATAACAGGCTAAGAAGTACTTTCCTGTCGTCTGTAGGCTCAGTGCTCACAGTGAATCATCGCACTTAACTCAAAGCCACATTGAAAACAATTGGTTGCTGTGTATTAAATCTTTGCCTGGTACAAGTTAGAATTCAGAGACTTATATTTTCCCTGTAAATCGCAGATAATACTAACTCCCGCCGTGACGTTATGAGCAGACACGGTAACTTTCCAAGGCCAATAGTTTGTGGCGAGATTTTTTTTTTTCTTTCTTTGCTGGCGAGCACAAATTTGTCACCACTGACCAGAGTTTGTCTGGAGGCTTAAAGATCTCCCGATGACGCTCAGCTTGAGATGACTTGCCAAGACGTGTTAGAAATGGCATGTGGTTATAGAGTATTTCAAACAGCATGAAAAGATATAAGAATGTCCTTTGGCTGAACATCCTGGTTTGATAAAGAGGAGCTGCGTGCAAAGAGATGTGGTGTGTGTGTGTGTTTGTGTGTATGTGTATATGTGTGTGTGTGTATATGAGAATATGTGTGCATTGTGGGGGGGGGGGGGTCCTGTGTGTTTGCGGCTATGCATACACATGTATGTGTCAGCATGCATGCGAGTGTCCAAATGCCACAGCTTGTAAACGTCTGTGTGTGTGGAGAGGAAACAGAGGGAGCTGAAGCTGTTACAAAAGAGAGTGGGGAAATAGAGCAGAAGAATATGGGCCTGACATAAAGAAATCCTAGATAATTCTGCCCTAAGATGTGAGAGGACTGCAAAGAGCAGAGCGGAGCATCCAGAGGTCGTTCCCATGGCAACCTTTGCCCAAGGAGATCACTGACCCCCCCCTCCGCCCCGCAGGACAAGCGGAGCACAGATTGTAGGTCACATATGGCACCAGCGATCCAATCAGGCCTAATCTGGCTTGACTTGTGGGTCATAAATTATACTGGAAAGCTGGTTTACACCGTGGCTTATCTCCGCGGTCGCCTCAACTGTAGGATAATGGCAGTGTTTATGGTAACATGATGAACTGACCTATTAAATGTATATGTCAACAATTTAATGTTGTGTCTATAGGCGGCGGGTAAAAGTAGTTCAGGGGCGAGTGATATCCTGCTGAGTATTAAAGCACCATTATGAAGATTTGGGGGTTGAAATTAATCCTGTGTTCTGTATTTGTTCAAATTACAAACATGACTCACCTCATTTGCTCAAATCGTGGCATTTTCAAAATGTTTGATATTTTCTCCGTAGTTGTTAAATCTCTTAAACAATTATGTCAATTTGATAAGAAATATATAATTTAATTATTTCACTTCCGGATCATATTACAGTTATAAAAACAATGTATATTCATTTTTACTAAAATAATTTTTTTTTGTCCTTTTTATTATGTTGTGATCAAACTATATTATAAGGAATTGTATTTAGTTAACATTGGCTCATTGTTCAGGGTCCTCAGATCTACCTGTTGTACTCTATGTGGAAATAATAATAATTATTATTATATATGCAGAGATATAATAACTGCAATTTTAACCTTATTTTGCCCAATATTTTATATATAGGATTGTTTATAGAGCTAATATATCAAAATGTGTGTGACAAAACACAAAAAAACATATTTGATATTTTATATGTTGCATGAACAAAAAGACTAAAATGGTTAATATAGTTTCCTATATATTGATATTACTTACAATATCTTTGGAGTCAGTTAGACACCGGGGACATCCCACTACTTCTTTACTATCTAATGAACTACTTGTTTAAAAGTAACAGAATATAACATGTATTAAACTATCAAGAAATATAAAATAATAACAGAAATCTGAATCGGTGGGGCGGTGCTGAGTACTCTAAGAATTATTAACACTAAACAGATATAGAAAATTATGAGAGTCCATTGTTTCTGCACCTGTTTCACAGCCGGAGTTTATAAGAACAGAGTTTCTGTCGCAGACTTATAAACACATCTTCAGTTCAAACTCAGGTTTATGAGCCATTCTTATGAAATCAGTTAAAGTATAAAATATTAAGGTGATAAAACTATTCCGAGTGTGTGAGCTGTTAAAGAGGATCCCGTGTGTCCAGGAGCCCAAACACAACATGGTAGAAGGATCTCCTCCTCATATGTTACTGATTAGGATTCTCTGAATTTTATCTGGCTCTTTAGTGAAAAAATATATTTTTTGACATTTTAAAAAATGTACCTGTGATCGTACTGAAGTCTCTAGATGTAACTTGATAAATCCAACCTCGCACAGAGTCATCAGTGCAAAACACTCGGGGAGGCACTCCATCCAGGATGTGAGACTCGGAGCCGGCGGCCATGCAGCAGAAACACAGATATGATTTGAATGATTTATACGCTATGTTTCTGGAGTATTGGGATAGTGCGGCTAGCCAGCCTCAGAGGGGCCTTAGAGTTTTATGTGACTTTGGTTAAGGGTTTCCAGATACGCTCCCATACTGCAAAGTGGGAGCTTAATGCAAACTCCTACTTTCTGAGGTTCAGAGAGCTGTTAAATCATATTTAAGTCAAGTCAGCTTCATGGTCTGGATCATCTAAATTCTTAACACTCACTTATGCATTAATAAAACTTTGATTTGTATATGGGAAGACATTCATTTTCTGCAGGCGCGGCTGCAGAGGATTCTTTTTCACCTATATGTGCAACTCTCACAAATACTCATGATTCAGCTTTGTTGTGCTGATAAAAAAACCCTGAATCTAATCTGGATGTAATAAACAGAGCGCTGCAGGAAATGGAAGTGTCTGGAAAAGCTTCTCAGCAGAGTATAAATATTTCATGTGTGTGAATTTAAATTAAGACAGTATTGGCTGTGGTTGACTGACTGTTTCAAACTGTGGACAATAAAATATATATATTTTTCTTTCCTGGTATGTGTCAGATGGTGAAGCTAAACAGAGCAGCAGTGTGTGTGCGAGTTCAGCCTCAGCCTGATCTCTGACGGTCGCTCCTTGCTTCATCACTGCCCCGTGGTTGGCAATTTCATGAGTGAGCTGGTAATAATCACGGGTGACTGGATTCTCACCTTTTTGCTGGGATCTATAAGAGAGAGGGCAGCTACACTTGTCGGGGCCTTCGGTGGCCATATGTGGATGCTTGAGGTCTGAAGTCAGAGGAATCTCACATCTGCTTTTCATTCCTTTATCTGCTTCTTATTCGCTTCCAAGTTGAAGAAATAACAGATTGTATTAGGAAGGATTGCTACAGTTATTTAAAAAACATGTAAATGTGACTTATTGAAGCGGTTTGTATTTTAAAGATGACACATATTGGGTTAGAATGAGCTGAGATGAAAATGTCGAGAACAGAGATTTATGCATGTAATTTCACACATCTTGAAATATGTGACAACAAGGAGCGAAACATGTCTTCACTTGAATATTTTTTTTTTCTTTTCTGGAGGCGAAATATTTGATATGCAACAGAATATGTGTTGCAGTAAAATTTAAGTGACATTTTAAATGGAATATTTTAGAAGCACTTCAGTACACTGAAGAATTAAACTCATCATCCCAGGATTTTTTTTGCAGTGTTGGCGCCAGCACATAATGCATGATGCAAACCGTGCACTGCCACCCCTGCAGACACGGCCTCGCTCTTTCTTTCAGCTGAAGCGACGATCTTCACCAGTGTTGACATCTGCCTACACAAGAATAACTCTGCACACCGCCCAGTCTGCACAGAGGAAAAAACCGAAGCAAGTGAGCTGTCTCGTTGTCTTTATCGTCAAATTCTCTTACACTTCAGTCATTTTTCATTTGGAGGACATTCTTTGTATCTAGTTTAAATATATTTGAATAAATGACTAGTCACTGTTCAGATGTACCGCATGGTGTACTGCTGTCTTCAAAAAATGATTTTACTCATTTAAAAGTGATTTTAAATTAATTTATAGTAATTTCTTAATCAAATTGTGTCTCAGAAACGGGGCAAACAAAGATTTTAAATATTCAAGCAACAAACTCTTAAATTATATCATATGATATTTATGAACATGGTAAGTTATTTTAAAAAGTAGGCTATGTTTCAAATATTCAGCTCCACTGGAATATCTGTGTTTTTTTTCCACTAATTCACTCCTTAAATTCTACGATTCAAATTTGCTTCCATAAAAGTAGTTTCTCTGTATGTTACGATCGCTGGCACACTTTTGAAATGGATTATTTTTTAATGTAATACATAAAAAAAAAAAACACAGGATGATGTGGAATGCCCAGGTTCCATCAGGTTTGGTCAGAACTCATCAGTCTAGACAGTTCCCAGCTCCCATGTTGCCCTTCTGAACTCTGCGGCTGAATCTTTAAAATGTCTTCAAAGTTCACTGAGCTTGATGGAACTTTCTGGTCCAGTCAACTGCACACGGCGTGAGCGACCGGGCCTCATCTCGTTACTGAATCATGCCATGTTCAACCTCTCAGACTGCTTGTTTTAGGGACAGAGTCCTCCCCACCTGAACGCAGGGAGGAGGTATACAACCGCACAGAGGAGAAAAAGGTGACAAGAGCAGAACGGTGACGCTAATGCAATCTGAAATGGCCTCTAATGCCTCGTTTCTAAATTGGAAAAATTGACCTTCCTGCGGAGAGGTGACACAAGCCTGCACTTGGAGCCGTTTCAGGGGCTAAGTGGAGGTTTTCGGAGCAGAGCCTGGAGGCCAAGCAAATATTTTATGAGTAATTTAATATCTGGAACAGGAGAGCGCACTCCACTCCGGATGCTGGCCCGGATATAGACAGTGATCTGGGAAGAAGGAGGGAGAGAAAGGCGAAAGGGCAAACCAATGAGTAGTTAATGCCGTACAACAACTTTCCTCCGAGGCTGCTCAAGGGATGAAGTACGACCGCTACATTCAATAAATTTCTGTGCCTGGGAACCAGTCAGCAAGGTTTCTGTTGGAAGGGATGTTTCAAAATGATCAGCACATGAGCTAAAAGAATTGTTCTCAATTTGCAGACACACTCTTGTTTCTGTAGCCTCCAATATTCATTTCACTCAGCCCATAAATCCCATGACATTTAAAAGCATTTAAGTTTATTTGAATAGTTTTTTCCAGCAGCAAAACTTCATAGCAACAAGGAAAAAGCAGTGAAGACGCTGTAAACAAGTTTTCAATAGGTCTCCTCAGGGAAAATAAATACATTCTTCTTGCCAGCGTGAAGCCATCTTGCTTCGCCTTCCACTCATGGATGGATTACTGGATGTGCTGGGTGAGCAGCTTTCACTGCAGTGGACAGGCAGCGGGTTTTATGAACTGGATCCTGTGTCGAGTTCATAAAATACCTCGCATCCATGGTTTCACGGGACAGCGCTGAAACGTGGCAGCACAGAGAGTGACTTCTCTGAGCTTCTGTTACTGTTTGAAGCTGTGATGCTGGGAGCGCTGAGTGGAGGCGGACATGTTTGACTTGAGATACAGCATGTGCAGCTGAATATGATCAGCTGCACATGTTTCTATTTCTTACATTCAGACTCATTTAAAAACTCTGCTATGTGTATTAACAGTTATATTTATAAAGTCTAATCAACTGCTGTAATAATGGTAATAATAATAACTTTATGTTTATAGCACCTTTAAACACTGGGTGGACAAAGTTCTGTGACAGACGAAGCAGACACGAGACATTCAGGAGCAATCGCAAAAATACTCCACACTAATCTTTCTATCCATTATCCATCTATCTATCTATCTATCAAGTCTATTTTATCTATTTCTCCATCTATCTCTCTAGTCTATTTTATCTATCGATCTATTTATCCATCTATCTATCTATCTATCAAGTCTATTTTATCTATTTCTCCATCTATCTCTCTAGTCTATTTTATCTATCGATCTATTTATCCATCTATCTATCTATTTATCTTTCTATCTATCTAAATATGTGTATATCTATCCATCTATCTATAATACAGCTGAACTGTAATCTACCATGACTAAGACAGAGATTTCATTCACGATAAAGTCTTGTAAATACAAAGTGAGCAGATGGAGGTAAAGACCCGAGGCAGAAGAAAACGTTCGTGTCCTTCATGTGTAAAGTGACAAAATCCCACAGAAAATCACTCGTGGGTCATTTCTCTTCACTCAGCAGAGAAACGTTCAGACCTCAGAGACTCAGGAGTCACACGAGGTCTTTTAAAGGGACACGCTGCAGTGATGGGAGGGTCAGGCAACCATGGGAGGTTCACACTGAGCCCATTACACTGAAGAGGGACGAAGAACCTGAGGCATCATCTGTTTTTGCCGCAGTCAGAGCCATGTATTATTGAGGGTAACAGCTCTCAGACCACAGCGAGGGAACGTGTTGTTGAGAGCAGCGATGTGCTATGAGGCTGTGATACACAGGTAAACACACATCAGCCACAACATTCAAGCCTACTGTCCCCCACATGTCTCCAGAATCGATGCAGGCCTGGGCTCTACACGAACTCTGAAGGTCCCTGTGGTATCAGATAAGATCAGACCCTGCAGCACTCGATACTTTTAAATGAACGTTGACGACCACAACCTTTTATCAAATCAAATCATTACTCATTTCTTACACTGCACTGTTACTCTGACTTCTTCATTTGTCTGTGCTGCTCTTACATCTTGTCACTGTGCGTTTTCATATCTGTTTATATGTAAGGAATTAGATTTTCACTGTTTGTCTGAAGATCCCCTGCTCTGCCGTGTGTCCGGCAGGTTGGACTTTCCAGCAAATCCCACAAACTCTTGATCAAGCTCTTCTTCATGTTCCTCAAACTGTTCCTGACATTCTCTGCAGATGTTCCTGAAGTATAAAACAGTAAGTCTACTCTTTTCTGTCTCGGACATGCAGCTTTAATTGTCGAATGTATCAGTTATTATTGATATTATTCATATTTATTCAAAGCATCTCGTTCTAAAAAGAATCAGCTGGACATAAAAGCAGCCGCTACAGTGTTCGACCGACTTTTGGCAGAAGCACAGAGGAGGGGGTTAGCAAATGGACGGTTGAGCTGTGGAGCAATTTTAGTCTTTTTTTTTTTCTTTGTAGATTACCATTCATCTAAATGCCAAAATATATTCATACATCAAATTAAGTTCTGTCATGTGCCACAAATAAAAAATCTATTTCATTCCAGGACACTAGAATAAGGGGTACAGCTGGGGCTGCAGCATCCCCTACTGGCCAGGGGTGTAACTGCAAGGTAAAAAAGTAAAAGATTAGCATAGTAGCATGTCATCGTGTTTTGATGCACTTAATTAGAACATGACGCAGGTCGGATCCTGCGTGACGTCTGATGTAGGATAAACCTGTATGTCCTGTGTGAACCGTCCACAGCTGAATATGAAATGTGTTTTCTTGTTCTAAAGCTTGTGTTACATGTTGTTGAACACTTAAATGAATAATGTTGTACGCTTCATTTAATATCGTGTCATCCGACTTTCTCTCCGCACCACAACTCTGACTGGCTGATGACCTTACTTATATTTCTTCATTTTCTAACAGCATTAATACTGACCAGCTCCATCTCGGATCCATCACTGTTAACAGCTGCACAGTCATTTGAACGAGCCATTTGTCACAATGTGATTTCCGGCTCCTCTGACGTCACTAAGTGCCTCGTCAGTCGATGACTCATCACAAACAATGTCTTTTCCTACCTCAGGAGGATTCTGTGAAGCTGCTGACATGAAAATCGATCGCTGTCAACGCGCTGCCAGTCCAGATACCACAAGGGACATTGACGGCCGAGGCTGGGTGTGAAGACCTGCAGACGAGGACACGTGTCCCTGGTGGGCCGGAGAGGACGGGAGGTGGGGACAGTGCAGGAGAATGTGCAGGTTTTCATGCACTAACATGTCACTTCCCAGTCTCAGGTGTTTCCTGACGTGACTTCACTGACACAGCCGCTTCATGGGCTCATGTTTAATAAAGTGGTGAGAGAAATGAAAATAATAATGATCCATAATTTAACTTACATGGGAAGAAAATATTTATCAGGATGAACTTTAGGATTTTAGCATTTATTTCTTGTCCTCTGCTTATCATATTTATATAATTTTTCCAAATTTATTTGAAAGTTTACAGAAATTACTATATTTATATACTAGGAATTTTGTTTTGACTATTTGTTTGTTTGATTAAATATATTTTGGGATTTGTAGCATTGTCTTGTATTGAAATCCAAGACAATAAAAACAACTTCAGTAACGTTATTATTATTGTTATTGTTGTTGTAAAATAACAACATTTCATTGAGAAATATTGTTGTTAAGAAGAATTGCAGTAAACGACAGTAAATCCTTTCAGTGGTGTGGAGTCTCAGTCTTTGAGGCAGAGTGCTCATCCTTCCCCGGCTTCGAGTGTCACCATAAGCCATCGCTGGCTGGAATCACAAGTGTCACACTGGGGTCATCGGGAGTTTGCTTCCATGAACTCTCCGATGTTAGCTGGAGCATGGAAGCATCGAGGCCCCTGGAGGCAGTGCTGCCTGCTAAATCTGTGTCAAACTACATGAACCCGATACATCTCCTCTGCCCTGCAAAATCATCAGCGACATCGGTTGTTGGCCTCTGTTGGTGGGACTGGATCAATGGACCGCCCGTGGTTACTGAGCAGTGTAAATGACAATTGACAGAGTCACTGAAACTACAGGGTCAAACTGGGATGCAAAAAGTTTTAATATGTTCATTGAATTACTTTTTTCTTATAATCCTGTGATAATAAGCAATTTATTTTGATACTAACACTGAATTAAATGATTTCCTCTGATGTAGAAGAGTTTTTATCACTTACAGTCACACTGACAATCGTCTCCAATGTTTTCAGCTCGCTGCCACTTAAATATATCAAATTCCTGGAATGGGTGATTTATCATTCTGAAATTATTGCAGGACGCAGCTTAGGTCACTGTTTATATATATATATATATTCATTATGAATAACAGTATGAAGAAGAGATTATTTTCATTGCAAAACAAATGATCAACAGGATAAGAAAGCAATTTTTGTTTTAAACTCTTAGTAAAATGTTGCACTGTCAAGTTCACATCCTTTATTTCTAATTGGTAAGAAAAGACGAGTGGCTGCTTCACACATGCTGGTTTTATAAAGTGTGAAATGTCAGCTGAAGGAAGGAGATGTGATATTTCTCTTAAGAGCTGAAGGATAAAATCAAAGCTGAACTCTGACTAACACACACAGAGAGAAGAGGGAATTGTATGTGTTGCCCATGATTTCTACTTGAAATGTAAAGTAAGATCCAGTAGTAACATGTACGCCAAGAGTTGTTGTATGAAGTTTGTTCTGGATTCTTTCTGCCTCCACACAAATATCTTTAACCTTTAATGTTTCGTGCTGTGGGAACAAAGTGAAGGATTTTAAGCAGAATCCAGTAAAATAAAAGAATTAACTTCATGTAATACATATTTTAAAAACATTTAATCGTACAAATAATATGAACGGCAGAACAAGCATGAAGCATAAGGAAGCATTGGCAACAGATGGACTTTTCCCCCAGTGCAGTGGCATCCTGTGAAATGCACATCAACCCTGCAATTAGTTAGCTGCACGCACACACACGCATGCACACACGCATGCACACACGCACACACAAGCACACACACACGTACGCACACACACACACACACAAACACACACACACACACACACACTCTCTCACTCTCTCTCACTCTCTCACACACAAACAGTCGTGCATTCTTGATCTGTTTATGGTTTGCAAGTGACACTGAGGGCCATCCGCTGACCTACATAGAGCGCAGCGTTTGTGTGGCTCACACTGGGAACGTTGCGTCCAGATGCCCTTCTCTCTGTTCTGGAGTGAAAATAGGTCAGAGGTCAGGAGGAAAACCAGAGAACGAGGAGAACTCGCACACGATCACACGTAATGTGCTGCAGGGACAAGAACACAAAGCCTCGGCTGCTTGTTTGTGCCATGTTTGCAGCAGGATCAGCTCCTCATCACACATCAGACACCACAGGCGTGAACTTGTGTGTGCGTATGTGTGTGAGAGTGCATGTGTCTTGTATGTGTGTGTGTATTTCATATGCCCTCTCAATGCCACCTTGTTCAAATGTAGTGTATGCAAAACAAGTGCTGACACACACACACAAAAGAAAACCTGCTGGCACTTTCCAATAAAAAAGATAAGAGGTTTTATATTCAGGTTTTCGACTGAGTGAACAATGACAATAAGATAAAGGGAAACAAGGTAAATAAACAGCAATAAAGTGAGAAATAGTGAAGCTAAAATCATAGAAGGGAAATAAACAAAAATATAAAGAACAAGAGAAGAAATGGACACAAAAATGGAAGAAAAGTAGTAATGACTAAAGAAAAGGAAAAGCTATAAAAGAAAGGACAGGGATGTGAAGAAGAAGGAAGGAAGGAAGAAAGACAAGAAGGACATTAGCAAGGACTAAATAAAGAGAAAGAAAGACTAATTGTCTCCATTTAAAATAAGATCTAATCAGATTAAATAATCACATTTAAAAGTAATCCAGTAAATATTCTTAATTACTTTACAGATTTCTGTCACAGTCTGAACATTTATCATCTTTTAATTTGAATCAAGAAGAAACCACAGTAAATTCAAAAATCAAAACACACACACACACACACTAAAGTCACACACATTAATTTAAATAATTTGTTGCTAGAAATCTACTCAGAGGAGGCGTCTGCGAATATTGCAAATCAACTGTTTCATTAACAGCTGAAGGTTGTAACTTTCATGAAGGGTCGACTGCACAACTGCAATATTATACTGCAGTACTCTGAGCTGTACCTGATAAAGTGGTAACTAATACTATATCAGAAGTGCATCTTTCACTGTACAAATATATAAAACACACTTCGATTGACACTTTGTTTTATTTGTTTCTGAAACGAATCAGGATCTTCTTCTTCGTCTTTGTTTGGTTTTATTTTGCTGTGGGTGTCAACCATCGTTAAGGTGAATTACCGCCACCTACTGTTTTAATCATGTTCTTTAACAAAGATTTATTGAAAAGCCTGAAAGGACACAAACATACTGTGTCAAAACATTTAATTTTAATTTTAATCACCTTCCCTGGATTAACCCTCTGGTCAGTTGAATGTTTTCCAGCTGACACTTATTGAATTCAGCAGATTAAGTATGTTATTACAATTATTACAAAGTATGTTGTTATACTTGTTTTTTATGTCTTTAGTAGTTTTATCTTCATATTTATATACAGTGTGTATTTGATCATGTACAATAAATATGTACATACAGTCACAGGAGTAGTATTAGTGATATAAGTTGGTAATATTTATTTGTCAGTACTGTATCTTGGAATGAAGCAGTAGTTTTAGTTTTAAAATAAAGTAAACGTTTCTGCTCCATACATGTGAACTGTCTGTGTGAGCGCATGTGACGGAGATAAGGTGTAGTGTGATTCCACTTGCCATAAAAACTCATCACACGACACTCAAACTTAATTGTCCTATGGTACTTAAATGCAGCACCCCTGTGGATTAGGGTCGTGCACCCCGCGGGACAGCAGCATGACAGGTGGAAGGTGCACGTGTATGAGCTCCGCCATTGTTTTATATTAATAACTTTAATTTGAATACTAAGGCGTGATTTAAATTGCTTTATACAAACATATAGCTCCGAACGGTCGAGCACAAGTTTTCATAAAAAGTAGTTTTTGTTTGTTTTGTTTATAAAATGGCTAGTGCTGCACGTTGTTAGCTAACCTGCACTTTCTTTTCATTTTACACGTTTCAGATGTGTATACTGTGTGTGTGTGTGTGTGTGTGTGTGTGTGTGTGTGTGTGTGTGTGTGTGTGTGAGGAAACCAGGACTGACTGTACGTTGATCCTTCTGCCAGATGTCCGAAATAAAAGAGTTTGCCAACAGTGACGGTCTTCTTCTGTGAAGTACCCAACGAGAGAGTACAAAGCCGCTACACGCACACGTGTCTTTGTGTCTGACTCCTTCTTTTCTGATTTCCCAACAGGTGTAAGAAACCACCAGGAGAATTATTCTGTCACCGTGTCTCAAAAGATAATAATAGAAATCAAACCCTCGCTCCACAGTACAAGATGCAGGAGTACCTGGGCTGTGGCTCCTTTGGACTCGTCATCCGATGCAGGGATGTGAGCAGCGATGAAATGGTGGCTCTGGAAATGACTAGAAGCTTGCGAAGGAAGAGGAGGCCACCCTTCAACCCATGAAGGAGCTCGACTCAGAAAAACTTCGACATCGTCCGACTGAAAGATTGTCCAAATCTCATTTTTTGTTTCAGTAACAACTAATAAAGGATGTTAAGTTAAATAATGTCCTTAAAGACTAGAGATGGGGACTTGTGGTGGATGCATCTTTTTTTCTCACTGTGAAAAAGTTTTTTTTAATAGTTTTTCTTTACTCTTGTTGAGGGTTAAGGAGGATGCCACACCTTGTTGAAGCCCTATGAGACAAACTGTGATTTGTGAATATGGACTATACAAATACAGTTGTAGTGATTGATTGATTGACTTTCATTTCCTCCAATCATCATATTTAGTGTGTACAATCAATAGTTCTGTGTATGTTGGTCCTACTCCAAACTATCTCGTTAACCTGCTCCTATAGTCGACTGCACAAGTTTCTAATATCAGACTAATATGTTTCTGTTTTTGCTGCCATCAATGAACGTGTGTTTTGGCTGATGAGATGAACTCTGGAGCTCATGATGATTATTGTGTTTTTCCTGATTTCAGCCGGCTACATGATGGTGTATCACGTCAGGCGGCCACTGTAAGTTAAGGTCATTGACTTTGGTTTAGCCAACAACAAACCTGAGGAGAAGACAGGTCGAGTCCTCCAGTCCTTGGTCTACAGGTAAGTAAATGACAGCACATCTGTTAACCTGGGACAGCTGTGTTTGCTGTAATGAATTAGATTTAATGTCTTTGTGTTTCTTCTTCTTCTAAGATCTCCTGAGATTATGAGGAAAGTCCCATCAACGAGGCCATCACATAACATTGGACGGAAACCAGATTTATAGTAAGAAATGAGTTTACCATCCCGTATCTGTGTTTACTGCTCATTAGTTATGGTGTCTGTCCTTCAGTCTGTGTTTCGCCTGTGCCGTCCACTGCCTTTAGATCAAACTATTCATTTCAGTCAATGGTTTCGATTCTCGTTTGTGATCAACAGCCTGGATGAATTTATATATAACGGCACAACATATCTTTAACAAACCATGTTTTTTTCTCTCATCTAGATACAGATGGTTCATTGGCTCTGGGGACTTGAAGACCAAGTTGAAGCATGTGACATGAAGTGCTTTATCAACTTCCTGAAAATGATGCTGCTGATGAATCCGAACTCCAGAATTACCCCCACAGAAAATCTAACCCTTTCATCACGATGAGCCACTTCTCCAGCGGACAGCCATGATGGGATGGCACATGAGAAGATTTCCTTCTTACAGACCTCCACCATCACTCAGGCGAAAAAAAGGAAAATTAATGTGAAGTGTGGCAACAGGTGGGCGTTTGGAATATCTCAAACTGACATTTTGATAAATATTCTTGTTTTTCAAGAGTTCAACGATAAAAATGTTTAAACCCTCTTTAACTATGGAGCTGCAGCCAAGTGCTTTTTACAATGTGCATTCTTTAAAATGTCAAACCTCTGCTTTAAGATCAAGAGTTTAACTACTTTTTTTCCACATCACAGGCCAGACGACTCCCAAGCTAAGAAAAGAAGGAGTGAACAGCTGGCGGCCACTCAAAAAGACAAAAGTGGGCAAACAGGCCCAGTAAAGACCCAGAGGAAGAGAAAGAGGGAGCCCACATCCGATGACGAGCCCTTAAAAAATAAGAGAGACAAGAGCCTCAAAAAATAGCTGACGGATCGCGTCAGAGACAGCAAGTCAGAAGCTGCCCCCTCCAACTCAACCCAGGTTCAGTCCCTGAGGAAGAGGAAGAGGGACGAAGAGGAAGAAACCTGCACAAGGAAGAGGAAGAGGGTAGCTAGGAAACAGCAGTTTCAACTTCTGACAAAGTAAAGACTGGAGTGAGGAGACCGAACTGTTTATCTGTATATCTGCATATATCTGCATATATCTGCACAACGACATTCACGTTTGCTGATCTATAACACACCTGGGTGGGGAAGCGGCAGGGTTTATGACATACACCACAGTGAGCCACCAGGGGGCGATGCAGGATAACAACAACAATAATAACAATGATACTCTGTCTGTGTGTTGGTTTGTTCGTAAGCAAAAAAAAACGACAAAACAGATTTTTACGAAACTTGATGGAAGGATGTTGAAAGAAGAATGAATCCATTAATTTAAGGATTTTCTTTTGTCACTTTGTCTAACGCTGCAGATTAGGGCGTTTTCAACACAATAATAATTGATGGATCCTGATGAAAATAATCAGGACATAATTCTATGATATTTGGTGCAGCTTGATTGAACTGTTGAACTTTGGCGGATGTGGGCACCATTCTAGTTTCCTCCTTTAATGAGGTGAAATAATAATAATGACAGTTAACAAGTTACATGTGGTTCCACTGTTTTTTCTTGAGCTTGTTTTTTGAGAGTAAGCAGAAAAAGGGACGTTAAAGTGAAAGGATGGAAAGAGCAAGATAACAGGGAGAGAAAAATCCATTCAGCTGCATTTTGGTCCGATGGCTCTACTGTTATTAGGAAAATTCTTTCTGTTTGACTCCTTTGAGTGAATTTCTCTCTGTCTGCTCTTTATTTGTCAAAAGAAATTCTTTAGAAGGAAAAGGAGCCTTTCAAATAACAGTTGGGGGGATTTTTCCCCCCCTTTTAATGAAAGTCTTGAATCTCCCTGTAATTTCGGACTGATCGTACGTGACCTTCAGTGTGGTGCGTGGATGTTCTAGCTGGTGCTTTTTTCGAAATAAAGTAGAAGAAGGAGAAAAACATTGGGGATTTGTGTGATAGTCTAATTGAGTGTCACATGTTGGTGCATTCGCTGGAATGTTCCTAATCCAATACCATGCTCACCACTGCTCCCATGAGCTGCCGTCACGTGAGCGTTCTGGCAATTGGTACCGGTTCATTTTCCACCCCCCCGTCTCTTAAAGCTCCCGGCTCGACATGCTGACTGGCAGCCGGCTCCATCGAGAGCTTGTCGCCATCCACACAACATCACGAACACGAAGGCCCCAACTTTTTTCCCCCCGCAGACCTGACTTGACTTGATTGCAGTTTGCTATCAGGGATGGAAAAGTCCTGTGGGTTTTCTTTGCGTTGGTGGCAACTGTTGGCAGGACTGCAGAGACCTGGCACACGAATAACCAATAAAAGACGAGGACGGGAGGCCAAGATGCAACACAAGCCACTGCTGCTATTTACTTTCTGTATTGTTCCCCTCTATGCTGGAAAACAGATGGAGGCTAACTGGGTACAATGGGACATTAGCTGTGCATTGATACGTTTTTCTGCCACAAGATATTTGGTCACTCAGGAATCTTCACATGTGATCTGTGCGTCAGCTGAGGGTCATTTTAAAAATCAGAGTGGAGCGTGGGCGGCATCTAATGGTGAGGACATGTCACTACATATCAGTCTTTCATTGATGAAGTGGCTCTCTCTATGATATAAACACAACAGTTCCTAGTCTCTCTCTCTCCTCTTTTCCCCATTTTTCTCCTCTCACCCCGACCGGTCGAGGCAGATGTCGTCCAGGTTGAGTCTGGTTCTGTATTTTCTCTCCACAGTGTTTGCTCATCATGGGAACTGTTGGGTTTCTGTATGATTTTTACTATTTAAAGTGCCTTGTTTGGAAAAAATGTAACGTAATTGACATGAAAAATCAGTTTCCAGGTAAAAACCTGTTAAATGGGCAGAAATTATGTGCAAAGCAAAGTGTGTGAAATGTGTGTTGTGATATGTTTTATTCCTATGGGCTCATTAACCAACACAATGTGTCAACATCCACAAAACACAGACCTCAGAGCTGAAGCAGCTAAAAGTAATTCCACCATTATTGATTTAATTATACACACCTCTGCTCTCCTACTGTGAATATCCTCCATTGTTCTTCCTGTAGTTTTCAGTAAAGAGAGTTTCTGGGTCTTGCCGTCGTTGCCGTGGGCCATCAGGCGGCTTTTTCGATGTCAGCTCTCATTACACTTAACAACATGTACGTTTGTCAAAACACGTCAGTCATCTGCCGCTCATGATGATGAGGATGATGATGATGATGATGATGATGATGATGATGACCTTGACCTGATTTGAACAAGATTATCAAACCAGCAGCATTAAATTAGCTCTGAAAACCTGAAAGCATAACTCAGAAGTTAAAGATATTTCTTTACTGTAATAATACATGATAAATTAATCAAATGTAAAAACACAGACACAAAGATAAGCATGATGGGTAATGCATGTCATCAAAATCTGCTGTGAACAAATTAATTAAAGTGTAAATTAGTGAGCTTTAGCTTTTTAAACAGATTATCATTCATTTGGAAACAGCTCAGAAAATGTCTGGTAACTACAAATTTAACATTCACACATTAGAGTGAAGTTAACAAAGAGTATTAATTTAAAAAAAAATTAAAACATTGATATAATGGTTTAGATTTTAAATGTGAATTTGCCTTAATTTGTCATATGCATTTTAACCTATTTTATCATCCAGTGTTGCTTTGTAGACACATTTCCAGAAGTGTAAATGAAAGAATTTTGTTCTATTTTATAAACATTTTCAAATGTTATAACTCACAGTACAGAAACAAGACAAGAGCATCCACCTGTTCAACAATAACAAAGATGACTATTTGCTAAAACTGTTCAAATCAATATTTAAATTATAAGTTTTTACTGAGCCCTAGAAATGACCTTGTCTTGAAAGTTTTAATGTTTTTACTTCATATAAAACCTCAGCTGGAGTCCACAGATCTCAGAGACACAAAGAGAATCAGCGTCTGCGGAGCCGGAGCCTTGGAACAGATTCATTCTCACTGTGACATTAGCTTTGAAGTCGTCACAGGGATCACATCATTAAAGCGTCCTCACATCATCTTTTCACACCTCTGAGGAAATTTAAATATCAGACGATGCTGTTGTTTATATTCCAGACTGAAATCCTAGGATATCACTTTACAGCTTGATGGTACCACACATGTTAACACATTAACCACTAGAGGCCGCTATAAGCTGTTCAATGCAGTCTGAACAAATCTGTTGATCCTGGAAACATTCCTTTTCTTCCACTTCCATAATTCTGATAAACCTGTTTGTGGGTGCACGGCTGTGAAAGGACTTTAATAAACTTTAAATAAAGGTTGAGATCTAAGACCTGACCCGTGATATCTTTAGCGGAGGCAATAGTTACGTGTTGGAAACACCAGAAACACAACAAATCCATTGATAGTTCAGTTATTTTTTCTTCATCCATGAGTTATTTCCTGGGAAATCATTGAAAATGACATAAAAGAATAAAAATGACTCAAATCCTGGATCGGCCCCTTTGACCAGATCCACGCCAAAATTTAATGGGTTCTTTCTTGGCCCATGTTCCGCCCCCCCTCCCCCCGCCACCACTGAGTTTCATGCAAATCTGTTCGCTAGATTTTCTGTAATCCTGCTGAGAAAGAAACATTAAAAAACATAATCTCCTTGGTGGAGGTATTTAAAATAGTCTGAGGGAAAAGAGTGAATTACATAACATCCACTTTTACTGGTGGAGGAGTTAATATACAATGTTCATTGAGATAAACTGGTCCAACAAATAGCCTGGTTATCAGTGAGTCTGAGTAGAGTAATGAGAGATTACTAAATGTAAAATGTGTACAGGCCGTCAGCACTCTGAGCACAAAGAGACAGTTATGGAGCTTGTTGACTTGATTTGTATTTGGACTTTTGATTTGTTTCTATGAAACTTTGTGTCGGACTAATTTTCATATTCAATCTGGACTTCCTCTGTTTCTAGGCCGTGTTCTGTTCCTGGTATTTGGTGTTTGGGTTTATTTCTCTTTTGTTTCCACTTTGAGTTCATTATTTCCTGTTTTACTCTGAAAACTTTTTTCCTTGTGTGTCTGTTTTATTTTACTTCCTGGCTTTTGTCTGATTTGCTGCTCCTGTGATAGTCTGCAGCTGCTCTAATGTGACACAATCATCCTCAGTCACTCAGCCTCATTTTGTGAAAACAGTCTGTGTTCTCCCTTCTCTGCTTTCTAACTTCATCTCTTACTGTCCGGGGACCGGTGCTCAGGTGAGGACTAGATTTCCAGTTTGCTTTATTAAATTCTTGCTGTTTGTTCTGCCACAAACCCAAAGTGGGACTCAGACATTAGCTATGATTTGCTAGAAGTTATCACCACATCATTAAAATGTACCAGAGTCTGGGGGATGTTGCTGTTAAGTTGTGTTTTGACCACTCACCAGGCCGCTCATTGGGAATCAGGTTGTGTCGGCATTAATCCACTGGGACACCGTTCCTTATTCCTGACCTGATCAACCTTTAGGCTGTTTTTAACTCTGACTCTCACCAAAGCAAAGAGCAGATACTCATCAGCTTGACCAGGCCTCATATTTACCTGTTATCTGTTTAGGCTGCGGCAGCTTCAGGTGTTATCTCACCTATTTGACCCAGTGCACCTTTAAAGCCTTAAATCCTCACCTCAGCCAGACACTTGGCAGCTTGACCCAGGGAGCCAAATAAAGATGGACGACGAGTCTCTGCTTCCTCCCACTATTCAGAAATGAAGCCAAAATATACAGTCACATAGTCAGCTGTCTCAAGTCATCTCATTTTACCCTGTTTTTATAGGTTAAGAATGAACACCGGCGTCTCTGTGGACATAAAAAAGGTTCAACTCCTGGTAGTATTTAACAAAACATTGAATGCACATATGTTAAATATTCAGAACGATCACGTCAAATATATATTTTGTAATTGTGACCTTGTCCGCATACCTTACATACTTCTTTTCAAAGCAGCACTTTTCTTCATGTGGCAGCAAAACTATTTACAAACCAACACTGCAGGTTTTTAACTATCACATTTTTTCTTCCTTGCTGATTCTAAAGTGAATCATCACACACACACACACACCCGCTCAGCCACATAATCCTGTTTTAATCACAAGATCTATTATGTGAACAAGAATTTTATAAGAATGCTGTCAACATTTAAAAGAATTTAAAGTGAAACACAATCTTTTGTATATGAGTATAATAATGAAACTGCTTTGGCAGTTATCATATTTTAAAAGTTGTTCTGTTCTTGTTTACAGCTAGGAATCAACAAATGAAGCATTTTATTAATGCACACGAGCACCGTCTCTGATTAATGATGACAAACAAAGGATTGTATTTTCCATTTCTGTAAATGCACAAGTCTGAGGATTACTGATGCCAGCCTCACTAATGATGGATGGTAATCACACATCATATATCTGAAATTAATGAATGTAGAAGTAATTAAATGGAGTGGAGATCAGAGACAAATACACTTGCCAAGAGTTTGCAAATGGATTTTCACATTTGATTTAAATGCCAGGTTTTATTGTGACACTTTTAAAAGGTCAAAATGGAATCTCTCTATTTTTGCATCCATATCGAGTGTGTGCATAAATAAATATTAATATTGTGGATGTTGCATGGAAATACATGCAAATTTCAGAGCCTTCTTGTGATTACCATGTAACTTGTTTGTGCTTTTTACATTTATCAGCTCAAACTGTGCATAAAACATATTAAGACACACTCCACCAAATATTACTCACCCAATGCCTCTAATTTCCTCCATACCTGTGTGAGGTGCCAGACTAAAGAGGGGTTTGATTAACACTCATCCAGGAGTGAACATGTAATACAGCAGTCTCTCTCTCATATTACCGGTGATTGTGTGCATGATCAAAGTGCCCGTGGACGCAGCAGCTCGCAACACGCCTGCAACTTCATGCAATAAGCTACGTGCGCTGAGAGACAGAGCTGCCTGTGTATGAGCCATATCCCTCTCGCCATTTCTGCTCTGGGTGCCACAAGAGCGTTTCATTACTTTTCGAAAACGCAGAAATCCAAAGTGTCACGCTCCCTCACGCTCGCAGGCACGAAGACACTGTGCAGCCAATGTTGCAGCGTGTCACCCATCTACCATTCACTTTGCTGTTGTTAGGGACAACAGGCCCAGTCTCAGCACTTATCTGTGATCATCAGTTTGTATTAAAATGCATCTGACCCAAAAGAGAACACCCCCCCCCCCGCTCCCTCCCCATGTTCCCACTCAACATGAAATGAGAACATTGGAGATAATTAGGTCAGACGTCATCTATAGATCCAAAACAGAACCTGAGGCAGGGGAAGGAGTTTGGACGTCTTTAGAGTCTCTGCGTCCGCCTGCTGGTTTTCTGTGCGTGGTCCAAGAAACATCGTGAGGCAAAGGAGAGTGCTTCATATGTGCCAACAATACAGCTCCCAGCAAGGGCGTGATGAACTTGTTTGGTAATCAGGCTGCACAACAACCTCTCAACATGACAGAGCCATGGACAGGGATGTTTTATTTCTATCATATATTATTCTAGAAGGTGTTTACCCGGCTCAGATGTGCTCCCTCCATCTGCATCTCTGAATCTGGGCTGGGGACACGTTTTTTTATTCCCTGGCCTTTTTTGACTCACTAATCTTTCAATCTGTTGTCACACAACTCTGTGTTTGTCTCTTGTTTTTGTTATACGTCTCTTTACTCTGTATTCTAATGTCCTTTTTTACAGCACTCTGTGCAGCTTAAAATGCTTTAGAATTAAACTTTACTCACTTTTCTATGGGAGGATGTTCTCTCTATATAAAACTAATAACGTGTAAACTGTGTAATCTTTCCCCATCTATAAAAAACATTGCAGCCCAGTGAAAAGCACCAATGGCTTTTTTGGCTCTTTGCTCAATTGAATGACCTTGTCCCTCAAAATCCACAGGCTATGCAATGAAAAAAAAGAAACAACAAATACACACACACACACACGCACACACACACACACACACAGACAGACTGAATAGGAATCCATTTTTGTGCTGTGGCAGATGTGGCCATTGGCTGTATTGGTTAATCCAGAACGCTGGGCTTGCTACAAGCGGGATTTAGCCATAACCATGATACTAACATCTGTCAGGATCCCGTCCTGAGCTCCCAAACCCACACGGAAACAAAAGCGGAATGTTTTTGTCTCACCAGGGAAAGGCAGTAAATATATTCAGAACCTGAGGTAAGTGTACCAGGAATTAATCAACGAAGAACGTTTCCCGGACGAGAAAAGAGGTGTTTGATTCATTACAACTTATGTAACATGTTTTTTTCCACAGTCTGGTTCTTGATGCTTTGTGCATGTGACGCATCGTTTTATTTACAACTGCTCTGAATTTTCAAAAGTTGAATCCATAGGAAAAGCTTCAGTTACTATGACAGCAGTTTAGTGTTCATGCTTATTGTCATGAATACAACAAATATATTGTAAATAAGATAAGAAATTAAAGTTAAAATGATCCGGCAGCTACAATTACGCAGAATTTAGAATATATACTTATCACTGGATTGTTTATATCGATGGGAGAATCACTTTACTACCAAGTTACTTTGTATTTAGTATTGATAGGAGGTTATTTGAGGTGATGAACTAATCAGGGGATTTGTTTTAAGCTGATATTCTCAGTTGCCGTTAGTTTTACTGTGAGTGTATTTTAAGTCACTAACAAAGTATCTGCTTTAATGATCATCATATGAATCAGTTTCATCTAGAGAGTTTGAAGTGTGAATGTTTATCGTGATATAAATGATGCTGTGCACACTTCTATATAGCTTTTGAAAAACATCATGGGCCTATTGGTGTAATAATTATTTACCTGCTGATCTTCTTATTTTCATATTCTCAGTTAGAATGTTTTCATGCTCACAAGCTAAAATAAGATTTTGAACACGATAAACATTATATGTATGTTCTCACTTTCATATTAGCATGTTGCTCCGGTGTTAACATTTAGCTTAAAGCCCAGCAGTGCATTAAAACAGCCTCACAGAGCTGCTAGATTCATTTAAAGCGTCATTTATTCTTGTGTAAAGCTGGATCTCTCTGCAGGCAGTGAATGAACATGATGTCAGACTTTCATATAAACATCTGAAAATAGAGCTGCATGACCATCACTTCCATCAACGAGCTCATGGCATTGATGAAGAGATGCAGCTGAGTCAGCACACTGTGAATGTGCTCAGTAAGTGTATGAGCTGAAACGCCAGGTCAGGTTTGAGCCTGATGCTGAACATCTGATGGACTTTTAATTGGTTTGAAGACAAAGAAATGTAGGCCAGACTTGTTTTTACATTCCACCTCTTGTGTAAGGATTAAAGGTGAACATGCATAATCCAGTTTGACGTCACATCGAAACATGTAAAATATAGTTTTTGTCTGAACATCAGAAACAAGAAACCAATCATCCAAGAGATTCATCCGTCTTTCTAATTGGCTCAATTATCAACTATTTTATTGTGCTTTGTGTTCCAGGTTTTATACACATTGTGTGACTTGAGGTTAGCCTGGGCAGCGGGATGTGCTCTCTGAATGCATTTGTTTAGTAATTTCTTAAAATAGTAAATACAACAAGAAGTGTTTGTACTGGAGTTAGCTGCTGGAGTAAATGCTTGTGTGCAAGTGTGATTTTGTTGCCATTAGCCTGAGCCACTCTTAATGCTAAGCTAACTCTCTCCTGGAAAGTTCAGCATGATAAGATCATCATAAGATTTTTAAGGCCTCTCCTGAGGGCGTTGTTTCCATGTTATCATTTTCATGCTTTGTTGAATGAAACTTAATAGAAACATATTTAGAGAGAATTCTCTGTGATTCAGGCTCAAGTCGGCTTTAAGTTTTGTCCCAGTAGAGACTAACCAGCTCATTTAACTAGCTTAAACCCCGTCTGACCCAGTTTGTGAACCTCTGTACTTACCTGTCCATGAGTTGGTCTAATTACATGAATTCCGTGCGAAGAGGAAAGCTGGTGCACTCTGTGGAGACTTTACATTCCAACATTGGTTCTGCTGCTGGCAAACATCACATTTTTCAAGCAGACAGTTGAAATCTGTGGAACAATAAAACAGCGTAAGATGTTAAAAGTCTTGCTTTTCACATGATAGCATGCTAACATGCTAACATTTCTGGGTGACTGACCGGATCACAGGTAGAGTAAAGGTGCTGCTGAGTCTTGGCTCCTGATGTGCAAACTTTTATATTTAAGTGTTATTTTAGTGACTTTTCAGTTGCAGGCGGCTGCTTCTTCTGAAATTGACCATCCGTAAAGCATGCCTCACTTAACCCAGCGAAAAGCCGTCAAGATAGAACGTAAACAGGGTTTGAACTTCTTTTAAAACTCTTCAGAGTGTCGGACAGTTTGCATTGTCGCCCCAATTTGAATGATTCGTCACGTCTCACCCCTTTGTGACAGAGAGCCAGGCGGCCCGGCCTCGACTCTGAAGTGGTCAGACAACAACAGGCTGCTCACACTGCTTCATTTCAAGCATAAACCCGACCTCAGAGCAAAGTGTGTGTGTGGGGGGGGGGGGGTCTCTTGGGCAAACTGGGTCTTGTTTAGAGAGAAAATGAAAAAGGGTGAGCAGGAGATCAGCGGTTGCATCGTGTCTTTCCCGTTTCTCCATCTGGTTGTCTCACTGCAGGTCTCTGTCTCTTGTTGCACTGCTCCTCCTGCCCCACACTGAACCACACCGGGTGGATGTTTTGCTCCTGCTGCTGCAGTGGTGGATGGTCAAGCAGGGAGCAGCTCTCCATCAGGCCTCCTCAGTTTTACTTTACTGAGAGAGGGAGAATGAGCACATTCTTCTTTGCGCTCGTTATGAGTCACTCGGTGATTGGTGGTCTATTATGTCGCCTTGTTATTTGTGAAAGTGATAAGAAAATGTGCGGCAGAAATGTTCTTACCTGCTCTCGCCTTCTTTTTACTCTGATTCATTGTTTGTGGATGTTGTGTGCACAGGGAATGCATTGTGGCCTCCATTCTATTATAATTATTTCTAAAAACATTTCATAATGCGGTGACAAAAAGAAAAGTTAGGACAACTGCTTTTCTGTGGAAGCCCCGTCTGACTTGTTGTTTTTCTGTGTAACAGCTGGTGAAGTGGAGCCATGGGCAAGGCGGGGAGTAAAGTCCTGAGAGAGACGTCGGTGGACGGGGTGCAAGCACCGGTAAATGCAGCTCTCTCACACATACACACACACACACACACACACACACACACACACAAGCTGTACAAACTCCTTCCTGCACAAGTTCAAACTCAACACATGCAGGAGTTGTGCCGGTATATATAGAAAAAAAGGTGTATTAAAATAAAAACGTGTGTGTGTGTCCTGGCCAGCTGCTGTGCTCTGCAGCAGCCACAGGTTACGTAACCAGGATCAGAAGCAGCTTGCTTTCACACTTAATTTTCCCACATTGCATCATCCTCGTATCTATAATCATGCAAACACATCAGTGAGCTTTGGACAAACCATTAATATCTGATTAGGCTGAGGGAAGACGGTCACTGGATGTTCTCGGGGTAGAAATTATATTTAGAGTGTATTTTTATTCATATAAGCCACCCGCCAGAAGTAGATTCATCAAAATGTCTTTCTTTCATGGCCGCAAAGACTGAAACAAGACGGTCTGGTCTGCGGAGGATATCCGTGGTTTGTGTCCCCAGCTCTTTCTGTCCCTCTCTCACTTAGCAACAGAGCTACAGTTGGACGCTATGAGTTTTTCAGGCCCGTGGGTATTTTTAAACATGTGTATCATTCGCTGTTTGGTGAATTGAAGCATGATACTGTGTCCGGACTCACAGCCACAATTGTCTCTTTGAAAAACATTTGGTCGTGCAGAAGATCATCTTCAGCACCTCCGGGTTTTGGGTTTTCTTCTGGCAATTAAATACCTACGTACTAAGTACTTCATCAGATTGACGCAGAACGTTGTAAATCCAGTTATGCCATAAAGATTTCCCACCTGTAGATTTCTAGCATCCTTTTCACTCAAAATAGCATTTTCACTTTCCCTCTCCAGTTTCTTTGTGCTCATCTTGTATCTGCGTTTAACAAGTTGAGTCCAATATGCAACAAAAGCTGCTTCCTCCAACTGTCCCAGTGAGAGCGTGATTATCTGCTGCCTTTCTCCATCTGGCCCCCAGCGTTAAGTCTGATGTGAGAACATAGCAGTGGATCCCCTGCTGGATTCACAGCGAGTGAGTCAGGGGGTTGATGACACTTCTAACATGCGACAGATACAAAAAAACAACAAATATCTCTGCGTGTAAAAGCGATGACACACACGTGTAGAAGACACCGGCTAAGATGTCAGGAGAGTTTGTGATGATTTGAGCTGGTGCCGTTGTGGATGTGCTGTAAAGAAAGTCACGTGACCCCTGCAGCAGAATGATTACGTTACTTCCTGTCCGTGTCTGCTGCACCCGGCTGCTCCTCCTCTCGCCTCAATAAAACAGAGGATTTGTCGCTGTTGTGAAGCTCCTGCTGCGTAGTAGGCCCGGTCCGATCATTCCATTCTGCTATTAATGACTGGGTTACAATGTACTGTTCAAATACAGCACAACAGCACTGTGATACTACATGGTACAAGTACTGCTCTACCAGATGAAAACCAGGGACTTGAAGTTTTTCCTGGAATGACCGGTGCTGAAGGATAAACACTTTGGTATAAACCGTAAATCTCATCATCTCATGGTATCATCATCATATCATCCCAACGTATCGTCCACTTCTGGTTAAGAAGATAAGATGAGCAGGCTTAGCAACCGCACACATCTTTATTTAACACAAAATTCTGAAGAGATTATTATTTATTTAAAGAGTAAATTTCACTGGTTTATGGATCTCTGGACTCTAAAGGCTCATAACTATTCTCATCAAAAGAATTTCCTCCACCAAGCAGGTTACGTTTTCTCTGTTTATTTGTTACCAGGATTAAACAAAAAACTACTGAACCAATTTCCTTGAAATTGTGTGGAGTGCTGCGGTACGACCCCAAGAATCCAGGAAATTGATTTTAACTTCTTGAACATTGTGAGATTTTTTCAAAATGTTCCTTGGTTTCTCAAAGAATAATTCATGGATCTTGATTTTTAGGGGACTGATATTTATGAGTGTTTGTAATTTGGTGGAGATTCAAATAAAAATCTGAATCTATATTGTGAATTTAAATGTGGTTGCATTAGGAGGCTGTTGGGTCTTTTTGGAGTTAATCTTATATGTTCATATTTTATAAAACATTGATTGATGGATGTTTTATTAAATGATACTTGTTAGATATTAGTTCTGTCCAGAAGAACCCAGTGTGATTGAGGCTGTGTGTGTATGTCAGCTCACAGTAGTCGGAGTGAAAAGGTTTGCTCCACATCTAAACCCTGCTCATCATCTAAACTCCCCTCGACGCCCCAAATAGTCTCATTCCCTCACGGAGTTGATCCACATTCAATGCACATCTTCGTACTTTGCAGATCATGCTCTGCTCTCAAAAAGGCCCACCCTATCACCCCCATCTCAATTTGTTTTGGCTGAGTGGGTGCCATCTTTGTCGACTCGTGCCGCTCAGCGGTGGGCTCCACAAGGCGAGGCTGGACTGAAGTGAATTGATTCACTGGGATTAAGGATTAAGATTTCCCCTGGCCGCTCTGGTGGAGTAAATCTGTGGGATTATGATGTCAACAGCCTGTGGCTGCTGGAGAGGAAATTGAATTGTGAGGGACGGCAGCGCCGATGGCCCAGAATTACAACGGAGTCAGTGGGAAATTGAAGCTGGGAGTCCATGTCTGTGCCTTTCTCCTGCTCAGGGGAACCTCCCTGGGACACCACACACGGCCTTCACTTACACAGCACAACTAACTCTGAGTGAATATCTGGGATGTTGATTGAGTGATAAGAGGATTTCTGTGTCTCTGGTAATCCGTCCTGCTCGGGCCTGTGAAGCATCAAGTGGTGAGTACGACTAAGTGCAGCAGAGATCACTTGTATAGGGAACAAGGTGACAGGGATTTCTTCTCTGGCAGCTGAAGTCAACAGATAACGTGTAGGAGGCCATGGAGAGGAAAAGTTTCTACACATTCAGAGCTAACCCAGCGTGTGCTGCGTGTCTGTGTGTTATTTAAGGCGTCTCCTGCTGCGGCTGCTCCTGCTGCCACCGTCAAGTTTGAGGGACTCACAAAAAGCAGCAGGATGAAGGTGAAGTGGACTCAGCTGGGGTTGGTCTTCTTCCTCGTTCTGTCCTTGGTGATGACCGGATGCTTCTTCTGGCAGTATCAGCTGCCCAAGGTCCTGCAGGGTGAGTACCAACACACTTCATCACAACAGGTGATGCATCACGTTGCATGAGCTCAGGCCACATTATCCACTGAAAAAAACCCAGCGTCTGACTTGACTCAAAATTATACAGGGTGTCAAAATGTTTTAACTTTGACTTGAAACTGGATTGTAATCTTTGCTTCATTTAAGATATTGTCACTGTCAGCTGAGTAATGTCATGAAGTGTAACAAACTGGTAAAATATGAAAATAAACTAAAATAAATATATTTCTTTACATAAAATATAAATAAGTAATTCATTATAAAAATCTAAGTCATGTAACAACACTTTTTTTTTTAATTTTGACTTTTAAAAAAACAACACTGATTTATTTGCCATATTTAAGATTTGACTGCCTTAATATTTCACCTTTCTTGAGACTTGAAAGACCAAAAGTGTTTTTTAAATGATCTTTCCATGATGCCTGTTGCAGGTTCATCTATATTTATTACATTTGACATACTGAGACATAGCTTGAAGCTAAAACTCTGGATGATCCTTATCTCTCTGCAACAACAACAACACAACCTCAGTCTCTGCTGATAATCACTACATGACTTTTTCCCCATTAAAAGATACAGATCTTAATGGTGCAGCTTTTATCCTGTGATAATAAGATGAAGTCATAATTTGATAATGTATTAGCTGGCAGGTGTTGAGCTGGCTGAGAGCGAGTGTTTAATTTCAAGATCTCATTAAGGCAGCGTTGAACTGAGTTAACAATTAGAACACAACAATAGGTTGATCATTTTAATTTACTAAACATTTGGATTTTAAAATCTGATTATTAAATGATTCATAATAGAATTGTGAAGAAAGCGAGTGTGTGTAGTTGTGCGTCATCCCTCCATCTGTGCAAATGATGCTTTCTGCCCTTGACATCTGATATTTCTTCCAAACAGAGCACACAAACAGCTTCATGTCCAGGTTTCTACTCTGTGTGAGTGTCCTATAAAGGGACACCAGGTGATATCATTACTGGGGAGAGGCAGCAGCTCCCTGCAGGCTCTGATTCATATTTTCATATATGCACTAATGCAGCTTTTTATATTCCAGAAAAACTCATTTCTTTATGTATGACAGTCCTTTAGAATGGAAATGCAAATCGTGGCCTGAAGCTGCAATGACACACATTGTAATATCATCCACAGTGTGAACGGGCTGCGTCTCTTTTGATCAGCGGCTTGTAAACAGTACGTCCCGTGAAATGGTCTTTGTATGATCAACAGGGTTCATCAGGAAGCAGGGAGAATTAATGAAGCCCCCAGCCAGCCAATTATATTAGACAACATTACTTTTGTCCCATTGAGACTTGTCCCCTCTTGTACTTCCTTTAATTTCCCCTCCTATTCTGTCTCTTTTCTCATTTTCTTTCCAGACGAGGGGATGGGTCGCAACGCCAAGGCAGAGATGATATGTCCTCGCTTCCCGGAGCCTCTCCCGCTGGAGCATCCCATCCCCAGTCTGAAAGAGGCCCTGGAAAAGGTGAGAGGAGTCGTCCCATCGAGCCGCTGATCTAAAACGCGCTCTCTGCCAAGTGTGAGGAAATGTACAGGCTGTCCGTGCTGTAATCCTTCACACCTAATGCCGCTGCAGTTGACAGAAGGAGATTAAAAGATACATTGGATGAAAAAGTGTCTGAGGAAAGGGTTTGTGTTTAGCTGCTTTCAGACATGCACAGAACTCCAACATCCAGACATTCTCCGGAGGGGCTGTACGTGTGGACGCAAACGTCCGACTGAGAGTCTCCAGACTTTCTGAAGGGTTTCTCCAGCCAGTCCGCTAGTATGTCTACAGATTACCTAAAGGAGTCGATGTGAGAACACGGCAAGAGATCCTCCACAGGTTTCTCCACGAGCGAGTGGGCGTGCTCATGATGTTTCTAACATGCATATGTTATGAACATGCTATCGGGAGCTTTTGGTGACAATGGTCGACTCCGGTGATGATGTGCTGTCAAAAAAACGTAATCAGCAGCAGAATGAATACGTTACTTTTGCACCACGCCTCACCTGTGCCGCTGTCAATGCATCTGAGTGAAGAATCTCCTGCTGTGTTGTTCATGTGTGAAAGTCCAGAGAAAGTCCAGACTCAGTTCTCCTCATCTTCTGGAGTTCATGTCGAAAAGTTTTTTTTCTGTGCACTGGGAGCAGCAGTGGTCCCACATGGTCAATGACATTTAGGAAAAAAAAAGAAAAAAAAGATGAATATTAACAGAGAAATTTCATTAATTCGATCCAGATTAATTTGAGTTTGTTTGCACAGAGAGAACCTTTCATCTGGGCAGTGACCAAACACCAAGGTGATAATGAAAATCAAATATATGAATTGTTTGATGTTCATTGAAGTGAAAAGGTTTGTGAGCAACTTGAAAACATATTAAATCAGAGAGCGATGTTGCTTTACCTGCAGAGATTGCAACAAAAGGCGCCAGTTCCTTCCAATTAAAACAGACTGTTCGCATTAAATTAATATCTTTGGGAGAGAGAGACTTCAAAGTATATGTCTCTGGGTTTCCATGCTGCAGTTATTAAGTCAAATTAAAAACAATGAAAAGAATATTCTGAAGGTTTTTTTCATGTGTTTTGCTCATTTTAATAAGTCAAGGAATGTTTCTGTAAAGTTCAACAGTGTGGTTACGTGGGTAAAAATCCCATTCATTTCCCAAATACAGATTTTAAAGCCATAATATTTATACCATCCGACATAACGATATATGCTCCTCATGTCAGTATGAAGTCCATAACTATCGACTGCGTTATAATGAAAATGTGTTTTATCCACGATGCCGTTACCATGGAAATGTTTACCACAGCCGCAATAATCATGTTGACTACCATCGGATGGTTCAGTGTGACGTTCTCGTAACACCTTGATTTCCTTGTCAAACATACTTCAATATAATTCTCATGCACTGATGCATTTACATTAGCAAAATATTCAAGGAATGTCATAAGAAATTATTCACAATAATAATTAAGCTCAAATATACTTTTGTAACCGCTTTTAGTGGCTCCAAAACCCAGCAGCCTGTTAGCTTAGCTTTAAGACTGGTGTAGGGAAACGAGGCATTTCACTGTAAACTCCTCACTTCCTGCTCCGTCTCTTTTCAGGTGGACGTTTTGCTTCGGCAGAGCATCAACCCCATCAGCCTTCCCGCTATGTCGGCCATTGTGATTTTAAACGACACTGTTTTATGGACCGGCAACTTCGGAAAGAGGAACAGCAGCGACCCTCTCTCAGGTTCCCCCAATGAGTACACCATCTACAGGTGAGCGCTGGAATAGAGCCCACATCGCAAAACATCACGAACCTCCTTGACTAAAGAGGACCGCTAGACTCTTATCAAACTAAAAACTTTTACTAAACCTGCAGAGGTACCAGACCTCAGTGTCTTCAACAGTGACTAACTAACAGTAACCATAACCAATCAAAAACGTGATGTCGTCATTTTGGATTTTCTGTTTTATGTCCTATTTTTGTTCAGTGTTCATCCTCTCATTCTCTCTGATCAGTTTTTGCTCTGTTGATTTTATTGCAGCAATCAGCAACACAAAATTCATTGGTTGCTATGCTACAGAGAAAGTAATGTGTTTTGGTATGAGCATTTTTGTATCATTAAGATTCAGTCTAATGGGAACAAAGGTCTGCATATAAATAGAATGATGGTGCACATCTACCCAGTAACTCCTGACTTTATTGTGTGATTGATGCTGTGTGATGACAATGCTGTTGCTCATGAAACACAACAATAAAAAGGCAAAGGAACTGCTCCTTGTGTCTCTGCAGGGAAAAGCAAACTTACATAAAAACTGAAATTTGCAGTTAGTCATTTACGGCAGGGATATATAAGTACATAAATTGCTCTATGATAAAATCTCAGAAATAAGGGAAGAAAGTGGGCCCATGGCTGCTAAAGTAAAGATTTACAGTAATTGAAACAAAAATAATGATTTGATTTGAGGTTTCTGAGCGACCCAAGACTTGACAAAGCTTCTCCATAGCAACAGAAGACATTAGGCAGCCATGTTTATAGCCTGAGACGTAGCCTACAACTCAGTCTGTGTTGTTCATGTGTGAAATTGGTAGTTACATCAGTCATTTGTGAGCTGTCAGAAAAAAGTGTTATGAATCAGTTAAAAATCTGTATTCAAACATTTAAACAGTTTGTCTGACGAGAACACACACGTTAAGGTACCAACACACGATCGACAGTGAATAGCTCCAGTTACTCAGTTTATGGAATTCTTAAAATTATTCTCTGATATATTAGCAGCTGCTCAGTTGAATATTTATACTACATCTTACAATTTATTCACTGTAAGACGAGAAGAGTGTTTTGTCTTCCAATCGTCTCTGAGAAGTTTGTTTCTGATTGTTTGTGTCAGATTTTACAGCTGATATTAAATTTATATTTTCTTTTCTTAGATGGATTTGAGTGGTTTCAAATTGAATGGAATGATTGTTTTACTTTGCTTTATATGTAAAAAACCATCTTTGTGATATCTACATGGCTTTAGCACTGCAGGTGTTTCCATATTGGACCAGTCTGTGTTTAGAAAGGCAGTATTCAACCTCCGAGACACAGACCATAGAGTAGGTTTTAACCATAGACTGTAAATAAAGATTGACATTGACATGACAGCACCACAGAAGTGAAGCCAAAGTGTCTTGATTGCCCCCTGGTGGCTGGCTGCAGTATCGGTCATAAAAGTCACCTCCTCATCAAAATACGTGTGAATGATTTTTTTCTCAAAGATGGTTTCTCTCATTTTTACGATAAAATTGACTTTAAGCAGTTATTTGATGCTGTAAAAATCAGGTGAACATCGGTGTCATCTATCTTTATACACAGTCTATGCCTGATTTTAACTGCTGGTGTTTGTATGGATATGTAAATAAATTGGCACCAAACCACAAACTTCACAGATAAAGACAGTTGTGTCTCAAAAATAATATCCACTTCTCAGCGAGAAAAATATTTCTTGCCCTTGCTTGGTTTGGTGTAACCTGATTGCATCCTGATGCAGCAGATTGCTTGTTACACAGAACCATCTGTGAAGGCTTCTTTGGAAACCGTTGAAAAATCAAGTTGAAAGTGAGAGTACATGGAAAAAACCGTTGGCAGGTGACAGAATGAACCATCTGTTTGGCCTTTTTCATCACAGTTGTCAAAGGGAAAAGACTGAAAACACGTCATCAATCAAGAAAAACCTTCAGTGTTCTTTGTCCTTCTTCTCTCAGTGGCAGCATGTAGGTCATAAACCCTGACCCACTATTTATGCTTCCATTGACGTAACCATCACTGCCTTATCCCTCCATGTGTCCTTTACATTGGTGTGGTTGTTAAGCAATACATCCAGTAGAGGGCAGTACAGAGTTGAGTAATTGTGACATCAGCAGAGGTTGTGACAATGTGCCCCTTAATGAAGAAACAAAAGAAACCACATTGAAAAGTCTTAAAGAAATGTCCTTGTTGAAATGTCTTCCTCGTTTCCTATGGTCATCTCGCTTGAACAATCAGCTACACTGCCCCCAATGATTTCCAGTGGAACTGCACCATTTTGTCTTTATATGTAAACGAGTATGGACAGACTGTCTGTCTTTGTATACGAATCTTACACTGAGCATAAAAGTGCTTTTAATGGGGAACTGAAACAAAAAAGCAAATAAAGAAAAAGTCCAGGTTCAAATGTAAGAAGATGCACGAAAAAACACTGCGTCATTATGAACACACGTGCGCTCTTGAATGTGTTTTTTTTGTTGCTGTCCCATTGCTCTTTTATTTGTCTTCCAGAATTGCCAGCTTATCCAAAATCTTCCCGACGCTGATGTTGTACAAACTGTGGGAGGACGGGAAGATCGGCTCCCTAGATGACCCTCTGGAGAAGTATGTGGAGAACTTCACCATCAAGAACCCTCTGGGGAAGTCACGAGACTCGGAGCTGAAATATGTGACAGATGGTCTGATATTTCTGGACAGTGGGGAGGTTCAGATCCGCTCCTCCTCCGTCACCCTGCGCAGGATGGCCAGCCAGCTCTCAGGTACTGAGACACAATGGGTACACATTCATGGCAATTAAAGCTGATTCTGATTCTTTGAGGGAAAAAAACAAGAACACTTTAAACAAAATGTGTTGTAAGAACTTAAAATGACCATAATTGTTTCTCAAGAGGAAACATATATATAAAAATGTCACAAAAGACTGATAAGAACAAAAATGAAAAATGAATCTTCTAGTCTAGTTTGTATTCAGAGATTACAGACATACCTGCAGTAGAGACACTGGACACTTGAGATTCCTGCCGTCAAGTTTCTTTTTCAGCAGCTATACATCTATATAATCCACTGAGCAGAAGAGGTGGTAGTACTGCATAAACAAGCACCTGTTTAAATGTGTAATACTTGATTGTGTGTACTGAATTCAAACGCAAGATGAGAGAGAGTCCTGAGGCACGAAGAATCATAAATCTTTAAATGATCCTCCCTGTCTCAGGATATCTTTAGTCTGGAGAATTCTGAATCATTCATGTACCAATGTATTTAAGTTAATAAAACATTGAGACTGATCTAAAGAGGTGAAGAGGAAATTACTCTTTTGTTTGGGTTGTTTTAATTTATTATTCTTAGTTTTTATTTAATAATGTTTGACTGTTTTCTGTTTTGTCTTTTTTACCGCGGGCTGATCCAGGCTTGCCCAGGAGACTCCGGGCAACAAATCTGCTTTGGAAAGGAAAAACACAATCTGCAATCAATCTGCTGCAAGACGATGTCCTCGTCGCAGACCCAGGGACCAAGTAAGATTTGTTTCTCTGTGTCCATTCCATTTGGTCACTGAAAACTCAAACCACCACATTCGGAATCAGTTTCTTCCCCAAGTTCATTCGACCTCTTATCCAACACACAAAACAACGGCACAACTCTTATGATTTGACTCTTTATACTTTTTAAGTTATTCTTTGAGACTATATCGTATCCTTTTGAAGACAAAAATCACCAAGCAAAGGCTTAAGACAAATTTTTAAAAATACAACTAAAAAAAAAGAGGCTTTATTTCAGAGTGGAGAAGAGGAGAAAGTTGTTTTCTTCAAAATGTGATGCGGTCAACATTTTTTCATGTTTTCTACCTGAGGCACCTTCTCCATTTTCATATCCTTCTTCCATCTAGATGTCACTACAGCAACCTCGCCTTCTCTCTGCTTGCTCATGTGATGGCCGAGCGGGTGGCCGGCGTTGACTACCAACGCTGGATCACAGACAACATCCTGGACCGGCTGGGAATGGAGGACACCGGCTTCGACATCACCCCTGGGCTGCAGACTCAAATGGCTGTAGGCGTGTACTCCAACGGGAAGCCAGCTCCGCTCTACGACCTGGGTTGGTATCGGCCTTCGGGTCAGATGTTCTCCACGGCGGCAGACTTGGCCAAACTTGCCATGATGCTGCTGGGTGCTTATCACCGCAAGCTGCTCGAGCCGGACTCTCTGAAGATCATGCTGATGCCACTCCTCAGGTGTGATAAGGACTACTTCGCCAACCGCACCGGGACTCCTTGGGAGGTGAACGAGCTGATGGGCTACGAGATGGTACGTAAAGATGGAGACCTGGACGGGTACTCTGCCACCTTTTCTCTGGTTCCCAGACTGAAGCTGGGTCTCGTCGTGCTCATGGCTGGCAGCAGGTCTCAGTCCCAGGATGTGGTCACCAAGGCCTACAGCCACATCATCCCGGCCATAGAAAAAGCCTTCAGGGAGGCAAGGAAGATCGTCTTTGCTCCGCCAAACCCAGACCCTTACATCGGCTTCTTCACCTACGGCAACATCACCTTCTACGAAATCAAAGTAGGGTCCGACGGAGTCCTCATCATGCAGCAGTTTGGGCCTCAGATTGAAGAGCTTATTCCAGAAAAGTTCAGGACAATAAAGCTCAACTACCTGGTGGACCGGGTCTTCAGAGTGGTGTTTGAGAAAGAGTATCCTTGTGTTTTGCAAGTCGGCTCAGCCTCCGTGTCCCTGGAAGCCCAGGATGGTCAATTATTTAACTTCTACACGTTTGACAAGCGTGGTCTATCCACTGGTTTTGATGCTCCGGGACTGAATACATATAATGTGGTCAGAATAGCCCGCAGGCCGTCTTTCTCAAGCTAAACTGCTGCAACGCTGTGGCCTAAAGACAAAGGGTATGACACTGTGTGGGGTTTGTGAACATTGAAAGACCAAATGAAAATGTTTGAGGTCAGAGAAAGGACTGAGCTCTTTATTTCCAGAGCGCACACAGGGAGAAAATGAATTCATTTTCCTTCTGAATGATATGTAATGTGACTGTTCTTTCTCCTTCATTGTCTCCTGATTGAGCATTCACTTTATGGTGATACAGTGCTTGTGCTTTTCCTGCCTTTGTTTCAACTGCTATTAGTCCTTGAGTTTTCATGAGTGAGAACAGAAGAACGGTCTCTCAATAATTGTGCTAATGTGCACATGTATATTTCTATAAATATTTCACTTTAAAATCTTGGGGCCATAATTGCAGCTCGACAAATATCATTGTCGCATACATATTTATCTATGGTGAGAAACCAACCAATTACATTTCTCTGTGGTGCTGTTTTTGTGGCAGGTAAAATTGGAACACTTTCATGGCAAATGTGTTATAGCTAAATAGAGAGCTGCTGATTTAATGCAGACAATCACGCACTTAGATGCGAATGAATGCAACATATTTTGGCTCCCGTAAAGCAGTGATTAAGGATACAGAGGCTTTTGGTTGCCAGTGTGATACTGTTTAATCCCTGAAAATGGACTCCTGATTCATCCTGACCTCTCACACCAATATGAATAATACACTGCCCTGGCTGCTGCTGGATGACAGATTCAAGTGGACAAAGAAAATGCTGTGCACAAGGCAGACACTTATCTTCTATGATAGATTGACTGTCTGGGGATGTGATGGAAACAAAGAAACTGTTGCTTAGTGCTAAAGCATCAGGTGCAACAAGTGCAATCGAGGGAATGTGAATGTCTGAAATTTTTTTAAAAATAAATGTACTGTGTCCACTGATCAGACCATGAATGAAATATTGAGGTTGAGCTGTACAATCCAACATTTTCACAGCCTGCAGAATAAGGCCTCTGATTAATCGTGGGAAGGGAAATAATCACTTGAATTCAACAAAAATGCAGAGATGAAACCCTGCACTGACGGAACATCATCGAAAACAGGCATTAACAGAGGTAAAAGGAAAAACAAAGCCATGTGCGGATAGCTTAGACATTTATTGTGAAGCTTTTCATATCAGGCACTGCACAAAAGCCATAATCACTTTTCATTTTTGCAATCACAGTGAACAAGAGCTTACCAGTCAATCAAATCATGTACATGAGGGCAGGCCATTCACCAAGAGACAAAAACAGAGTAGAAGCTCACGTTAAAGCATCACATTCATTTGTTTTGTTTTTTTTAAACAAAGAATGATTTGACCTGTTTTCGCTGCCCAGCAACACAACATCAATGTTCCACAAAGACAAGATGTTTCAAGTACAACATCATTATTCAGGTCAGATATCACAGAACCACTTCCCCACTGGGTCCATCCTATAAGGCAAACAGCAGTTATGGTATTGGACAGGTGGAATGTGCAGGCACTGTTGAACAAGATCATCCGTCGTCATTTCGGGCGTTCGCTGTGCAATTGTGCCCGAATTTGTTGGTGAATCCGTTTAGCGTAGGACAGATTTTCAGCTTTGTTGTGCGTTGTTTGTCGTGCAGCGTACAGGGGGAGTAGTGCGAGTTTAACAAAGGAACCAATCCAAAGTCTACGTATAAGCTTTGCAATAAAACACAGTAAGACTAAAGGAATAATTTTGTAAAATTCTAATTATTTATTTTTTGCAAGAAGAGATAGGTGTGAGTGTAAATATTAAAACTGTGCAACAAAAATTAATAGTTTAAAACTGAAGTGGGGGCATGGTCCTTGGAGGACAGCAGGGGTACTGAGTGGGCTGCAGCACCCCCTGCTGACAAGGAGTGTAACTGCAAAGGTTTAATTTATTTTATTTTCTAGAGTAATATTTCCAAAGTAGCATGCTAGCCTTGTTTTTCTAACATTTGATTTCATTTTTTGAACGTCTAGTGTATTTTCTGTGTTTCATATTTCAACTTTCTCTCAGGAAGGACCCCCCCCCCCCAACTTTGACTGACCTCCAGCATCCCTGAGTGACGGCTTGGTGGTGCAGGGGTTAGCACTGTTAGCACAAGTGGGTTTCGAACTTGATGGTGGACCATGGCCCCATGTTCTCCCTGTGTCTGCATGGGTTCCCCTTGGCTATTGCAGCTTCCCCCCACAGTCCAGAGACATGCAGATAAGGCTGACTGGAGACTCTAAAATGTCCTTAGGTGAGAATGTGAATGATTGTTTGTTATAAATTGGCCCTGTGATACTGTGACGACTTGACCAGGGTGAACAACATACATCACGTTTGATTCATCAGACATTAATGTTTATACATTGACCACAACAAAAACAAACATTGTTCATTGCATGTTGCACATTATTGAAGATTTAAATTGGTTTGGTTCTTTTTTGTTAGGAACATTTTGCAACCTTTTTATTTTTCTTCAAGTTAAAAATGTCACAGTTAACATTTCCAACAGTAACAGACATGTGGGAAGTCCCTGTGAAGAGATTCTTCCTGTATCTTTGACAGGGTTTCCATATTGGGAGATAAAAAATATCTCTGTATTACATATAAATTATAAAAGCCCCTGGATTAGTTCCAGTGAAAATCAATGAGAAAAAGATGATTATTAGCCAGTGAGCCTTTGCAACATCCGAGCAATTAGCATCAAAAACAGGTTGCATTTATGTATAATTAGGTCAATGCATGATAGTGTACATTCATACCTGTAGAAACATTAAGTTGCAGTTTTAAGAGTGTTTTGCTGGATTGTTTCTGAGCCTAGTAAATCTGCAACTCAGCATTTTGAGTTTTTTACAAACTGAATCAATTAAATATCCAATAACATATTAATTAGTGAACGTTTCGATGTTTCAACAGAGCCAGGTAACTTCCTGTCTTTATGCATCTCTCTGCTCAACCAAGCTGAAGGTTCTAGCTTCAAATTAATTAGCTCATCGAAACCAAACAAGCTAACTGGACAAAATGTCAAACTCCTTTTTTAAAGGGGATCAGTTGCTTGTTAGTTTATTCAAATCAAATCTCAGTTAGAACACAGAGGTCTGGTAGGTCATCTCTTTAGATGCACACGTAAGGATGGCAGTGTCCATGCTCAGCGTCATGTTGGGTGACAGCAGGGGGATAAAAGTATTTGAGTCCTTACCCTTCGCCTGAGCCCTGGAGCTTGAGACGGAGGGACCCAGGAGGATTTTGGGAAAGGGTGGCGAGTCTCTGACAGAGCTGTTGTCCTCAGTCTGGGAGCACACGAGTTCTCTGAAACTCTCCCTGAAGCGGGTCGAGAGCAGGCTGTAGATGATGGGATTGACCGCGGAGCTGAGGTAGAACAGGACACCTGACAGGATGTGAACGTACTGATAAATATTGTGCATCAAGTCGGTCCACTGGCTAATGGAACTCCACAGGAGCCGCTCAATGTGAAAGGGCGCCCAGCAGACTCCGAACACAGCCACCACAATCGCTAGAGGATCAGGACAGAGAGAAAACAGGCTGTTACAGGTTCATGCATTTTCTTTCTTACTGCTATTTTTTAATGTTATTTATTATTCCAATGTACTTTTGATGACATTTTTCCTATAATCAAATGGGAGGATACATGACAATCTAGGGATTTGAAGCTCAGAGCAGTTTCTTCTAAGTTTCTTCTTATTTATTCATTTTAAAAGCTGTACTTCTTGTATATCAGGTTAAGTTTATTGAATATATCATACAGTTAAAGATTAAATCAGTAGTTACCAATCTTTTTGGAGATTTTGCCAAAAAACGTCTAGGTTTAATAATAATCTCTCGGAGGCTGAAAAAGGTCAATTTATTCAGTAATTTATATTGTCAGCTGGGAGCCAATCCCAGCTGACACTGGGCGAACACATCCAACATATAAAGACAAACAACCATTCACACCTACGGGCAATTTAGAATCTCTAATCAACCTAACCTTGGACTGTGGGAGGAAGCCAGAGTGCTCAAAGAAAACCAACGCAGACAAAGTGCAAACTTCACAAATGGAAGCCTCGTCTGAAGTCTTCTCCCCCACACAATTAACCTTCTCAAACCCAACGTGTCACATTTGACTACTTAATTGGGAACCACTAAAATTAACTTTATATAAGTGTTTTTAGAGTAATTTAAAAAAGAGAATAGAAATCCAATGTGTCATTATCCTCTTACATAGCCAATGTTGCATTTGACTCCAACAAGTGACAGAGCATGCAGATTTAAAAGATAAAAACTGAACACAGAGTCATGCAGGTCTAAAATGTATATTTGAACATCTGATCAACAAATGCAACAAGAAGAACTCCTGGACTTTCATTCATCAAAAATGGCACCACATCAATTAAAAATGTCTCTGTGTCTGCTGGTAACATAAGCTGCTCATGCACTGAGCTCCAGAGACCTTCAGACATTCTCAGGAGGGGCAGCGCTTGCTGCAGACTTCACCAGATGAAAAAGTGATACCATTCACGTAGAAGACACTGACAAAAATGTTAGGAGAGCGTTTTGGGGGGATTTGAGCAAACGCCCATGTCGATGCACTATTTAAAAAAAAACATGAGATCTCCACAGTGGAATTAATACGTCACATCTTGCCTCTGCCTCCAGCGAATCTGCGTTGTTCAGGTGTGAAAGGCAACCTCCAGAGAAAGTGATTGTGAGGACATTCTCCGGAGTTCATGTCTAAAAACGTACGTATAGTCACCAAATCAACTTAAGAGGTTATAAAAGTGACCAACAGTCAATGAATGAAGGTATTTCTCTTTAGAATAACATTATATTATAGATATTGTACAATAGTTGAAACGTCAATACCTCAAAATTGAGTTTCTGCAGGATCCCCATCATCAGAATCTAATCATATTTTTCAAATTCTTTATTCTTCTCATGTGTGTTTTTATTTTTCTCAACAGAAAGCTTAACACTTCAAACTATTGAGAAGAGCAGAGAGAGGAGGAGGATGGAGGACTTGATCGCTCTAACCTTGGAAGATTACATTGTTTTCATGTTGGATTCAGAAAATACCTTGTTAAGAAAACTTGGCCTTTAAAGACGGATCCAACAAGAATTTAATTTCAGCCATTTGTTCCTTGTAGTGTTACCAGACATCAGATGTGAAAAAGTGGAGGCTTTACACTGTGTGTTTGATGAACTGTTGAGTTTAACAACTATACTAACACTGTACATTAAATCCCATCAAGCTCCAGAGCTCAGAGCATGTGATATGAAGGTAGAGGCCCCTTCAGAATACAAATCATCGTTACAGAAAATCCTCTGTCTTTACACACTCTGTGTTTGCCTCAGCTCTTGGCTTGGGAACATGTCTTGGCATTGACAACACAGATTAAAGGGGGATCTGCTCTCGAATCGTAGCTTGTCATGTCACCTGTCATGTTTCCTGCAGAAGGAGGGTAAAGACAAACTCACAGAGCATCTTGATGACTTGTCTCCTGCGGCCGCTCTCCGCGCTGATCTTCTTCCGAGTGTTGCTGCTGCAGTTCTTTCCCAGGTTGCCGCAGGGCTGCCGCGACTCTCTGCCCAGATGAAGACCCATCACTAGGTACAGGATGCTGATCACCATCATGGGCACGAAATAGAAGCACACGGTGGTGATCTGCATGACCATGTTGTAGATCCAGAGGGGCTTCAGCACGGTGCATATGGCCGACTCCTCCATTCTCTCCGGCAGGTAGAAGATGCCGTGTAGTGAGGTGTTGGGGATGGCGCAGATCATCGACACGACCCACACGACGGTGATGACCTGCCTGGCGTGCTGATTCGTTGATAGGTATCGAGTTTTCAGGGGATGCACCACGGCGATGTACCTCTCCACGCTCAAAGCCGTCACATTGAGAACCGAGGCGAAGCAGACCGTCTCGAACAGAAAGGTCTTGAAGTAGCAGCCGCCCTCGCCAAAGGGGAACGGGTAGTTCTGCCACAGGTCGTAAATCTCCAGGGGCATCCCGAACAGCAGCACCAGGAGGTCCGACATGGCCAGGCTCACCAGGTACAGGTTCGTGGGGTTACGCATCTTCTTGTGCTTCGCTATCACCACACACGTGAGCAGATTTCCAGACAGGCCCGTGAGGAAGATGAGGAGATAAACGCTGGTCACCTGGAGAAAGAAGGGCGATCGTTTTGGACCCAGGATTTCCAGGAGGTTGACGTCGTTGAACTGGTTGTTGGTGTAGTTCCCAGTTCCATTTAGTGCCATGCTGGTGTTGAGGAAGGTTTTGGAAACATTTGAAGCGGAACCCTGCAGAGAGAGCTCCATTTCAGAGAGGAGAGCTGGAGAAACAACGGGAGACGTCAGCACATCCTGTGCAGATATGAGGGTTCGTTCAACACCAGGGACCTGTGAGAAACAAAATACTTTCTGTAGAGGATGTATGTATTTCACCTCCTTCTAGGGTTCAAACTTCAGTTCAACATTGATTTGTTTTATAAAAATCAAACTCCAAGGGAATTGCATAATCCCAGGATAACCTTAACAAACATTATTTTCAGTTGTGATTTTTGAACTAACAGATTAGTTGTTGGGCAGCGCAGTGGTAAGGACAGCAAGAAGGTTCTTGGTACTAATCTAAGACCTTCTGACAATAGCCAGGAGTTATGAGTCAGAAGTGAGTCACAGATAAGTCCACTGCTAGCAGTTTTAAGTCAGTGCACGTTCATGTGTTTTGGTGGTGTAGCAGGATAACCAACCTTAATTGTTCAGGAAAAATGTGACATCTTCAAATTATTTGTTTTAACTGAAACAAACAGAAACAAACCCTGACTGTATTCAGTCTAAAATCACATATGACTCATAAAAATAGCAAATCCTCATGATTGAGAAGATGCAAAAAGGGAAAAGTTTTAAAATCAAATGATTATCGGAACACTTGCCTCATGAGCTGATTGCTTACCAATCCATGAATCTACTTTGTGGAGAATCATTTCAAACAACAACCCAAGAATATTCACCTGCAGGCAGAACATGAAGCCAAACGTTTTTCACAGCAAAATCATATTATCCAGATAAGATCAGGACCACCTGGTGCAGAATGCATCAATCCAAAGTGTGTGTTTACCCTGCGTGCATTTATTCATCATATCTTTAGATAGGAGGAGATCAATTATTTTGATTTGATTTGAAAATGTAGCTATTGTTTGTGATTAAAATCTGCAGTTGCATTCTCATATATCAGCACATACAAGAAAAACCTGCTGTTCGTATTATTATTACGTGTTTTTGCACCAGATCGATATTTTCGTGGCTGTTTAAGAAACAATTCCGTGGAACAAAAAACTCATTTGTCTCGCCCTGGAATGGTCAGATTGTGTCTGCGGGTTAAGGGACTGTTGCTTCCCCTGTCGCAATAAATGTGGTTCAGGTCATTCCCCACCAACACGCACACGGGGACCGGAGGATAATTGTCATTACGCGCACTGCACCGGTGGACGCTTGGCGACTTCCCCGAGAAGGTCAATTGTTTTGGCAAATCTCGTGCGTCACGCTGCACATCCAAGGTTATGCGCATAACACAAGTATGAGGTGTTCCACAGAGATGCTTCTCTGATGTGTGTGAGCTGCACGTTATCAAACAGATCTAATGATAGTTAACCTGGTGATTTAGCTCTTAGTTGATTTAGGTACTTTTCTCCTTTTTTTTTAAAGAAATGATGGCTCACAGTCAGTTTGGTCTAATTACACACTCAGGAAATAAAAACAAAACATTCCATCTTCATAAAACGTCCGCAGCCGATAACTTAAGACCTTAGAATCAAATTAAAATCCTCACCTTGATGCTGCAGCCGATTCCTAGCGCGCGCTCTGCGTGGCCACGATGGGAGGTGAGATGACGCGCAGCGCAAATAAGATCAATTAAAACATATAGATGTGTATTTGCTGTAGATTGTTGACGAGGGCAAAAGTTGAGGAACAAGAGGAGAGGAGACAGATGGAGGCGGAAAAGAGGAGGCACGTTACAGCCACGTCCAGTTCACACTGATACTTAAAGGGTGAGATGCAAAAGAGAGAGAGGGGGGGTGAGAGAGGGAGAGAGAGGCATGAGGGAGAGAGTTATAGAGAGGGAGGGGCTAATGAGACCACACATTTGCTTTCTTTATGTAGGACAGCGTGCAGCTTTCATTCACAGTATAAATATACATTAATCACGTTACACACACGAGAGGCTGCAGCTTATTGAACAGTTTTGGGTCAAACATCAGAACTTGACTGTGTGAAGATGATTCACTTCATTAATCTCACTTCATTAACGAGACAGACTCAATATCTAAGCTGGAAAGAGACCATTTGTCTGGAACTTCTATGATGTATTGGGTACCATGGAACAGTGGTGTGGTGGCTATAGCACCAGTGCCTCATGGTAACAAGGTTCCCGGTTTGAATCCCAGTTTAGCTTCATGTGAGTTTAATACTTTGGCTTCCTCCCACAGTCCGAAGATATGTTTGGTTGATTAGAGATTCTTGACTGAGGGTGTGAATGGTGGTTTGTATGTGGTGATACACTGGTGTCCCCTGCCCTCGCCCAGTGTCTGCTGGGATTTACTCCAATTACTTATTTATGGGCAGTTGAAACATTATGGATTTGTTTTCCAGCTGGATTTAGCTTCATATTTCTGAGGTCTGGACCTCCCATGATTGCTGTAGAACATTTCATGACTCTGCCCCTGGAGCTTGTGTTTTGTTGTGGACTTTTTTGTGAATCTTGTGCTCGTATTTACTTCAGCCTTTGTATTTTGTATTTATTACTTCCTGTTTTATTTTGTACTTGTGCCCCNCACACACACACACACACACACACACACACTCTCTGTTGATTGATTACTTACCTTGGTTACTTTCACCTGTGTCTGGTTAACTCTGCGTATTTAACCCTGTGTTTCCCTCGTGGTCAGTTTCCAAGTCAGAATTTTCCAATAACTTTTAGTTTTTTTGACCTTACACTTTTTACTTTGCCTCACTGCGTATCGAACCTGTCTGAAGGTTTCTTATACTTTCATCGAGTGAAATTTGTTGCAAGTGCAACAGTAAGTATCTTCTCATGATTGTTTAATATAATTTAGTGTTTTGAGGACACTTGAACTGCCAATGGTCAGAAAATAAATGTGCACCACACATCTTGTAAACATGTTTACAAAGCTGCGTTAGTGGAAGAAACAAATTAAGTCCATTGTTAAGAAGACATAGAGTTCAACTCAAACCACAGTGCGATGCCGTACGCTCACAGAATGGATGGTCTGGATTTTACCTTCTGGCCTCAACAGGCTGCTGAGACACTTCCTGTCAGCCACAGACATGTTTGACTTTTACAGGCCAGCGAAATAGGTAAAACTAGAATGGCACAGTAGAGTGCAAACAAAAGCAGAATCTCCATTTAATTTGTTCTCTTAGCATTTTATCGTCTATTTTAAAAAGACAAACTACAGAATCATGTGTGTGATGATTCATTCAGCATCGCTGGAGAGTGAGTGGCCTAATTACTTACTTCAGATCTAATCTCTCCAAAGATGTGATTCTCATTGGTATTCACTGCTGGTTGGCCTTTTCCCATTTGACTTTACGTTTCTCAGAGTGCATCCCATTAAAAACACTTGACTTAGTTTTTTCTGATTCTTACCCCTGCATGGTATTTCTATTAATTGGTTTGGTCATTATCAGAAACCTCACTCAAGGAAATGTGTGTTCTTATAGATTTAATGTGGCTCGAAGTATATTTTATTCTATAGTCCTCGAAGCCTACTTAATAGAATGGAAAGTATGCAGCTTGTATCTCTGCCAGTTGTTGTATAATCCATAAATAATCCATAATCCTGATTGGAAATGTATATATGGGATTAGGAAAAAATGCCAAATTACATTAATGGTGTATTTTGGCAGATGCTCAGATCGACTCACGCTTCTTCGGAATAAATGATTGAATTTCATTGGCTCGATCAAATCAAATGATGATTGACATTTGGAAGCGATTTGAGAACCAGTTATTCATTGTGTGCGTAAACTACAGCAGGGACTCAGCTTGTGTGCTGAAATAACTCATTTGAAACACAGACTGCAATTTCCATGCAAGAAATGCAGCTTCAAGTGGATTACATACAATAAAGACAAAAATCTAAACATAAGAAAATGTTTAAATTACATTTAAAAGAAATGGAAATTTCCAAAAAAGGAAAAGACATGAAATTAAATTAAAAAATGTGCATTAAAAACAGGAAAGATATCGATAAAAAGCCTTGTATTTAAAGATCCAGTTGTTTTCATTTGTTTGTGCTTCTGTTAACTCCTGAGGGAAATATGACAGAACAGATAGAACACCAAACACACAGAGGTCAGGTGGTACGACAGACGAACCTGCATGGACAAGCCACAGTTGTCACCCTGTGATTTGAAAACAACAAATAATCAGCGACACTCATAGCTACTACCTGCAATTTATTAAAGCTGGGTTATCGTTCCACTGTTGTTGATTTTCATTTACTGGCAGTTGCTGATCACACAGGAGGAAGAACTAACATTCATTCATCTGTAATACAACTCAAATTTCACAAAAACTATTCAGTATCTAAAGATAATCTATGTTGTGTGCTTACAAACAACTGCAGGGTCGATAATTCAGTTTTAAAACTGAAAAGCAGTGGAGGACCATGGAGACCATTGACCCCACTGAGGCTGTGCTAACGTTTTAAAATGTCATTATGCCATTTCACAATAATGTCATTATTAAAATCATTCATGTAATATGATTATGATGATGGTAATTGGTTCAAGTAAAATGAGGTAAATCAACTTATTGGTATTAGTTCCAAAATATTTTATTTCACTGATGATGTCATTTTCTCACTTCATAGTGACATGATGATGGCGTCATGATCATGAATTATTGTTTTTATCTATATAAGTTTCTGGTTAAGTGTATTTTTGAGCTGCGTGACATTTTCTGACTTTGTCTTCCTGCGATGTCATTTACCATAAATCATTTAATGTGGAATCATTTTTCTCGTCAATGTAAAGTAACACTGTTGATGTACTCATGTTATTTGCAGAGATATGTTGGAAAATGTGCTTTTCTGATCGTAAATATATTGTTGTTGAACTTGACCAATGAGCTCCCTCCAAAATAATATTCCCTCAAAATATGGTGGACACACAAACACACTGAGACAGGGGTGAAAACAGTATGAGTCTTCTGCACACAGGAGAAGGGAAAAATAAAACATTGAGTCGCTGCTGGTTTTGTGTTTGGCTGAAAAGTTGTTATGCAAAAACAAATAACTGAACATAAGTTATGCGACTGAACATAAACAAATGTTCAGTCGCATAGTTTTCCTTCACTGCCATGTTTTGTGAAAAGATAATGACAAACTGTTCTTTATAAACTCTGCACCATTGCACTTTAATTAAACTTGCAGCAGCTGCAGAGGTTTTCTCACCAGATGCTGCCCCTGTCACCTGCAGTTGCCAACAGGGGGCGCAGTAGGTTCAGTTTGTGACACCGATGTGTGTTGATAAAGCACCAATTCAAGGTAGTGTCAGTAACCAACAACTGAGATAATAATGTTTACACATACACATTATGCTCGTTGATAGATAGTGAGAGAGAGAAATGGATGAAATAAAAGAGAAAGAGGTGGAAAGAGAGGGTGAGGGGAAAAAATATAGGATTAAGATATTTTCAATATACTGTTAAGTTAAAAGTTATGACTTAGTAGTTAAAAGTCGACTGTGCAACTCTCAGAGGATAAGGCTCCTCTCCTGGTGCAGGGTGGGGTCATAATAAACTGTTAGAGCAGTAGCCTGGAAAGATTTCCTGTAGACGTCCTTGAGATATTATGATCAGAAGGTCAAAAACATGTTTTGTGAGAATATAACTTTGACCTTTGACCTTCAATCAGCCAAACAAAATGAATCCCTTCGTCTCTGAGTCCAAGCGAACTTCTCTAAAGATGTTGTGTGCAGACGACCAAACATTGGTTTTGTAAAGTCATAGTTTAAAATATTGTGTTCACATGCATAGGATGGATGTATGGACAAGACTCTGTGGTTATTGAGGCCTATTACACTTAAATCTGCAACAGTCAATATGTTTATGTTGAGGGAGAAATATTGTATGTCTGTATGAGGAGTTGTCTGCAAGTCATTGAGTATTACCACCCGACTCTTCAGCTCCAGGAAACGTCAACACCTGGTTTGTTTCACTCTCCACCGGCAGCAGGCAGGTGTTTCAGCAATAGGCTTCAATAAATCTCCTGTACCAAACCGCAGCATCAGACACAGCCACTAGCTGCTGAATACAGTGGAGCATTTAGCAGTTTAAGAGCCTGGTATTTCCCTCAGGAGTCAGTGGGAAGCCAAACCGAGCGGAAGGAGTGAATATGTGGGGCTTGTGTTGATTAATGGGCAAAAACATGATTCCGAATGAATGCTAATGTACCTTAATAGACATCTGCGTGTTGAGTTGCCCCCTAGTGGCATCTTGTAAGCATATGATTTTTTTTTTTTGGCTTACAAATTTATGGCAACAGCTTGTGGAGGAAGCCTCTCTGCTTCAACCAGACAATACGCCCAAGTATGTGAGCTCCATAAAGAAAAAGTTCTTCCAGTTTGATGTGGAGCCACTTGACTGGGCCACACAGAGCCCTGACCTCAACCCCATCCATCATGTTTGAGACGCCCACTCTGAGGCGGACCCTTGTCACCTCTCAACATCCGTGGCTGACCCCATTATTGCTCCTTTGTCTTGAATGGGAGCAAATCCCAGAAGGGTGGAGGAGGATGTGGAATGTGTGTGTCCATGCTGTGTACAGACTAAAACTGATGCTACTGAGCATAAACAAATGTGGTCTGACCACAGACTGTGTATAAATATTAACGTAGACTCCAGGTCTGGAAAGTGAAGTCAATGCAGAAGTACCTGAAACCATTATTGGGGCATAGATGCTACTGTACATGATTGACAGCTAGTACCGTCATGTAGGTGTAGTTTGGGCATGAAGTGTCCGTGTGCTCTGTCAGGCTCCACCCCCACT